AGATCCACTCTCTCGTGTCTGATATCCAATCATGAGAGAAAAACACAATCGTTCCATTGACTGTTTCCTCCCCTGACCAATCTCCAAACCTCATAAACTAAAAATGACATGCGCGTGATTCTCAAAGTCTGGGATCTCATTTCCTGACAGAAGGAAGCACAAGAGGAGTGTGTTTGTGTGTTGTCATCCTCCTCCCTCCCTCCTCTCCCCCCTTGCACATGCTCACACACTTACACAGCTCACCCCTGACTTTGTCTCATGAGTAGAGGTCACGACCCCCTCCATTCACTGCAGATGGTGGCACAAAGACAGGCGGAGAGCTGAAACTGACTCCTGATGGTCGACTTTCCTCTGTGACACCCGCCGCACCCTGACAGGAGCCACACAGCTGCTGCATAGACCCCAGTGATGCAGATATCACCCCCACCCCACCAAAAACAAAATAACCCAGACCAAAAGTCTAAGACTCGTTAAATCCACAAAAGCCTCACCAGGGATCTGGGATCAGCTGGCTGAACATACAGAAAGAGTCACAAAAGTGGGAGCACACACGCTCATGCGGCTGCCGTCTGCCCAGCCTGTGCGCTGCATAAACAAAACAAGTGACTAAACATAAGAAGTAACACCACACTGATGTGAGTGAGCTGACAGCTCATTAGATGTTTCATCTCTACATGACACCAGAAATCACATAAAAACAAAAAACTGGCTCTTAACTGTGAGTAAGGCTCATGTTTTTGGATATTCACTGATATATAACAGAGTTTTTTTAAAACAGGCAGATCAGTTTCACCCTACCCTCGCTGATAAAACTGGGCTGAGCAAAATTTTCGAAACACCTTTTGGTGTAATGCAGTACAACTCCACAGCATTACAAAAATACAACTTATAGCCTCATAAAGTTGTTTCAAAACACCTCCTTAAAACAGTCTCAACAAAACCTTTAAGGGGGTACATTTTTTTGCATTTTGTATTACACCGATTCCTAAATGGACGCGATGCAAACGAGTAAACATCAGATTGTTTTTGTTGTTCCCTATTAAGATGTCCTTACATGCACTGTTTGAAAAACCGCTTGCCCTGGCTCTGTTTTTGCAAATCTATGCACACCTCCAATCTATTTTTAGAGCAACAGCAAATCGTTCCTTAGGGTCGCTCAGGACTTGATAAGCTCGCTGAATGTTGTTGCCACTTGTGGATTATTTGGACACTTTTTTGCCCTCTGTCCGGCAGAGTTACTTTGCTTGGTGTGTGTTAGGAAGAGGTGTAAGACTCCATTGAGTGTAGCTAGGTGTACCTAATAAACTGGCACCTGGGTGTATGTCACCACTATGGCTGTAACTGTTTATTTGCACTATCTGACAATTATCTGCCAAACAATTAATCTAGATAATAATCTGCAGATTACTGTATAATGTAAATAACTGCTAGCTGCAGCCCTACCAATAAATAAACTAAAGTGTTTACTGTGCCAGAGGCAGGCTATTTTTAAAATCCAGCTGTCATGAGATTTGGAACAGATTTTAAAGGAGCACTACATAATATTCCAAGCATTAATATAGCAACAAACAATTATTTGCTATGTAAAGATATAGTAGAGTAATGGCATCCTGAGCAGATAATAAAGCAATGCTCCCTGTGTGTGTGTGTGTGTGTGTGTGTGTGTGTGTGTGTGTGTGTGTGTTTTGTAATATGAGCTTCTCTGTTTTTTGTTGTGATAGACGGTCTGGCCCAGTGTGCATGTCAGTGCAAGCGAGTCCCTGTGTTTGTATCCCACTTGCTCGCTAATCACTGCTGTCTGTACTGCGCTCGTACGTTGGTTGCTGCTAATATCAAGATGGCGTTGTAGCAGAAGCATAGCGCTCACCCTCCAGTTCTAACACCAGTTGCTCTGTCAGCACTGTTGTCACTGTTAGCACTGTTAGCTACTAGCCACCAGCTCAGCCACCACCTTAAGACTTCATATCAGGCACATTGTATATAGATGTACATATGTGTGTGGGCCTGTCTCGTTTCTACCCCTTAAATCTTCCACTTGATATTGAGTGCCCTCGTTTGTGAGATAAACCTTGATGAGGGAAGTGAGAAATATTAGGGTAGAGATCTTCTCCTAAGAAATGGGACACCACTTCATGCAAATCGGCGTGGCCGACATGCAGGCATACGTCACACGGAGTAGCGATGCAATGAAAATGCCGGATCCAGCGCTTGTGTTGTGGCGTGTGCTGTGTTTATTCTTCTCCGTCTGATGATCTTCTGATCGATTTTGTTCGGGTAAGTAAATTTGTTTAAATATTTTGACGCTGTGTTCAACCATACATAGGTAGCAGCCATTTTAAAGAACTCAACTGGCTTCCAGTTGAAGCGAGAGTCACTTTATCTAGGCTGTGTATGGTACATAAGATCATTTATGGTGCTGTCCCTGCTTTTTTAATAAATTATTTTCAACATGTTAGGGAAGTACACAGTATCTCTACAAGAGCCGGTGTTGCTGATGTGCACTTGTATAAGTTTAACTCTCTTATCCTTAAGGGATCCTTTTCTTACATTGGGGCTTTTCAATGGAACGGCTTGGATTTGGTTATTAAATTAGCCTCCAATTTAAGACGGTTCAAATTTCTTACAAAAGCCTGGCTTTTGGAAAAGGTTCCTATGTGAAAATTGCCTCAGCTCTTGAAGACGTATCTGTCTCAAATATGATTGTTCCCTTCGTTTCTTTATTGTGACCATGGTTGTGTATGTTTTTGTATGGTTTTATTGATGAAGCTTTAACCGCAGCACATGTGGGTTGCCACCTTGTATGTATGAGGACCACAATGGAAATATGTCCTGGACTTTATTGTGTTTTTATCCTCGATTGTGTTAGCCAACGTGCATGGGTAATATGTACTCTTGTGTTTTATGCAATCTAATAAACCTAAACTAAACTAAACCGAGTTGCTGATGAGTTAACGCTAGTCCAACCATCTGTTGTTTGTATAGCCTACATTCCGATTGTACAGTAACAAAATGTTTTCCAAAACTTGCCGACGTTGCTGACATCGCAAGGTGTTCTGAGAAATTTCATCTTCCACTTTGTTGAAAGTGTGGGTCGGGGCTCCCTTGGAATCTAGGGCGGGTTTTAAGTGTTGGAAACCACTTCCACTACCTCAGTTCTGTTTTGGGACACCACTAGCCTAAACGTGAACGCGCACAACCAAGTGCAAGTGGGTATTCCTAGGGGAAGTGTGGGTATTGGGACAGGCCCAAGGTGTGTTAAGTGACCATGAATGTGTGAATGTAAGCTATATTGATTTAAATATAGACTCTTAGAGGACAGGCCTTGAACTACAAAGAGATCCAAATAAACATACTGAGATGCTTTAATTTGTAATCATATGACCTAAGTTTGTAATTTTGTATCATACGTAGTGGCTGAAAGCCTCAGAAACACCAAGTAACCAAGGACCTTGTTTTCAAGAATGAACCTTTTCAAAGTCCGAACTATGAAGACATCTATAGTCTTAAACATATAAGCATAAGCACAATGAATTTTCACCAGACCAGCACCACTCTGTGTTTGTAATTTTCCATCATTCATTGTAGTCCTGGCAGGATTTGGAGGATTTAATACTTTGGGAGACCCATCAGCGCAGACTGGGTGCTGTCTCAGCGGGCCCTACTTATAACAACACACCCACACTAACACATACACACACCCACACACACACGCACACACATACACACACAACTACCAAAACAGTCTGCTGTGTGTGAAAACTTGTGCCATTCAAATGAAGTCTGGCAGAGATGAATGGGGGTGGATGTGAATCAGGTTTATAAACAGCGATGACAAATCAGGTTCCGAGTGATAAATGTGATAAATGTCAGCGTGACTGATTCATTTCACAGCAGTTATTCAGAGTGGGGCGCAGACACCGACAACTACGACAGTGATAAATGCCAAGAGTATGATTTGCGTAATTGTTGTGCTGTATTAATAGACTTCGTTTCAGCCGGGGTCTTTGACCGTTAACTCTGAGGCTGCCGCCATGTTGTTTATTCGTGTGACACGGAGACACAGGAAGGCTGCATGTTTTCCCACCAAGCAATCACTTCACAATCACTAATTAATTTCTCCTCTCTGCTGAAAGTTTGCTAATGAGTGAAATCAGCTGCCATAGTTTTTGGTACTAATGAAAACCTGACAACAAACAAACAAATAAATAATCAGCATGAGTAAAAAAGTTCCAAACTAATTTGTTTTCTTTTTCCATAAAGGAAATATCTGCATGTTCCCATAGTGCTTCTGAAACTTGATGAGCTGACCTGAAAGAAATACAAAGCCAGCCCAAAACCTAAAACTTGTAACTAAACATTTTTGTAACAGTTTCAGTGTGTTTCAGATTTGGATTTGTGACACATCAAATTGCTTCAACCTGATTATTTCTTGTTAGGAAGGAATCATTTTTGTTGTGGTTGAGCTTGAGACTGGATAGCACTTTCCAGTTTTCCTACCTTAATGGACAAAGCGCTTCCAACAATTGCCTCTCACTGACAAACTCACATACCAATGGTGACGGAGCTACCATTCAAGACACTGGCCTGGCCACTGGGAGCAGTTTGTGGTTCAGTAACTTGCTCAGGGTCACATCGACATGTGGGTGCTGCAACTAATGGACAACCCGCTCTGTTAATAATGCTGACAGCTGTTTTCTCTGAATGCTCATGGTACCAAATTGTTGGGGAAAAATACTGTCTTGGTCCAGATTGAGCTTTTGAAGAAACTAAACTTGGAATCTAGTATTCAGCTTTAGCATTTGTAGTTACATCATCCCAGGTGGGGAGCACTGAGGGACGTCTTTATAAACAGAAATCATGAGTCACAGTGTGGAATGTCCCTGAAACTATGGAGCATCTCGGGCTTTTGAAGGCCGCATTACAAAGAAATTAAGAAGCCACAGGATGAAGTCAGTGAGGTTTTCCTGGTGAGGAAACACTGTCTGGTTATGTGAACTGACCGTGTGAAGTGGTCCACCAACGCTCCCACCAGCTCGCCCACTCGGTCCTGGTTGGTGCATAGCTCCCCTCGCTGCAGACACAGCAGGACGTCATCCTGGGAGGTCGTGTGTAGCGCCACCATTTGGTCGACCCCGCTGGTCACACTCAGTCCTGTTAACTGTGGAGAGGAAACAAAATTACAAAGTGAGACACGGACACAACACCAACTCTGACTAAGAGTGCATCCACAGTAAAAGATGTACGTGTGTTTGGGAAGTCACTGTTAAACAGCCTCCATTCTTTATGCAAGTAATAGAAAGAGTAAAACTGACATTTATATCTTGTTCTCTCTTGATTTTGTGTTTGTTGACCTTTTTTCTGTGTTGTTTCAGCAGGAACAATCAGTCTCTTCAAGCATTGTTGGTGACAGTTTTAAAATAATATCTGTTGAAGTGTTCAGACATGGCGGCTCTTACTGCTTGTACCTTTACTTTTGATACTTAAAGGACATTCTGCTAATAATATGTCTGTACTTCTGCTTAACTCTGAATGCAGTGAAGAGGAAAGTATTGTTTAAAAGTTGCATTGCTGCTTTTAGTTTAGTAGGAGACCTGACTATAGGCTGACTGACAGATACGCAGTGTCACACTTGAGCACTGAAAATTCATTTATGCAACAATGTCAGAGATTATCACATCAACGTATAATACCTGTAAATTTAATACAGCACAGTACGGTATATCCTGGATCAAAAATCACGCCATGAATGAAGTCAGTGGATTATTTCTGCTCAGAGTATGAAGGGTGAGAGAAAATCTGCCTGCAGTGCACGTGTGCAGTGGGGGAAAGTCATGAGTTGTGACCCAGTTGGAATAATGTACAGATTTACTGAGCCCAGTGGGGGAGGAAGTATTCAGATATTTCACTGGAGTAAAAGTAGCAACAGTACAGTTTAAAAATACTTGATTACAGGTAAGTCCTACATTAAAGATCTCACTTAAGTAAAAGCACAAGTTTTAGAGTCAAAGTATACTTAAAGTACCAAAAGTAGAAGTTGTCATTATGTAGAATGACTTATTTCAGAATAATGTATATTATATTACTGGATTCTAATAATTCATACATTAATGTGTTCCTCACTTTATATATGAGAGAGAAGGGAGAGTGAGGTGTGTCACAGATTTTAGAGATGGGAATGGGAGACGGAGTGGATTAAGCCTCTTATGGTTCCCAGCACACACAGGTTAATCCGGCAGGGACGACAGTGTGTCAGGGACGACAGTGTGTCAAGGCCAAACTGTGGTACAACCTGTCTCTTCAGTGTTCAGCCAGTTATTGTATTTCCAAAAAAATGTGATAAACAAACATAATTCTTAATTATTTCTTATAATTTCCTAATAAAATAATGTTACGGAAAAAATGTGTGGTATTTTCTGATCGTTAGGACATTTTTTCATGTTATATAAAGCTGTATATCTATGAATAATTATTTTCATTATTAATTAATTCAAGCTAACTGGTTTCTCAGAGTACAGGGTGACATCTTTAAGTAACAAACAAACAAAACAAAAAAAATAATTACATGAAAAGGGAACCAAATAAAATCCTCACATTTGAGAAGCTAAAACTGGCATTTTTTTTTTTTTTTTTTTTTAGATAAATTACTCATATAGCTGCAAAGTGGGAGCAACCACTGGATCTGAATGTGTTTTTCCCATAGACTGTATAAAAAAAATGGACATAGCTTCTTTGACATCGTCCATTGGTTTGTGGACTGCTGTTTTAAAGCCTTGAGTGTGGCCATTAAGGTGTCCAAGAGGGTGGAGCTGTGGTGGGGCGAGGGGTGGATCTGACTCATAGACTGTAGCGACACCTTTGCAGAGAGCCTGTCACTCAAAGTGGAACTGCTCTTAATTATGCGTAACTTTTTAAACCTTCATTTATATAGAGCGTCACCCCTCCTATAGTTGTCATGAGCTGTGCTGTGCATTTTAACATGGGTGAGGACTGACTGGTTTCTGCAGCCAGCCTCAAGTGGCCATTAGAGAAACTGCAGTTTTTGGCACCTCCATGTTGCCTTCATCTCTCAGCCCTGGTTGCTGCTTGGATTTTCTCCATTCTTTATTCCCATTTCAGTTTTTTATGTGAAAAAAATCCTCAATGTTGCTTACTACAATGTTGACTACTCAACTACTTCTTGGCAATAGTTGATGCAGCAATAATGAATGCCCTCAGACGCCAGCTTTTCTCTGAGTAATCTCTGAAATAATGCAGTGAATAAAAGGGAATAAAAGCAAAATGCAAAACACTTTGTTATTGCAGTTGGGAACAAAATGTTGCTGACTTTACCAAACATTGACCCAGACTCATAAAGTAAATTAGTTCATGCTGCAGATTGTATTTTTCAACAGTGTTGTTTTTTAGCCTCCGCCCACCATTAGTGGCACACGTCATTATGAGCTCTGTGACTAGACGTGGTAAACTGTGATCGCAGTTAGCTGCTCACTTTACATGTCAGTGTACATGCTGACTTTTTATGAAAGAATCACACATTTTCTGATACAGTTGTTCATTTACTGCAAACAGATGAGTGAGTGATCTAACTATGAGTCACATAACACTTTCTATGGGATAGATTTTTACTTCAGGCACCAGAGGCATGGAATAGCTCCTTCCTGCATGTGATCAATCAATTATCAAAATCAGGAAAACGTGTCACAGTTATGCATGTAGCTGATGTTTCATCATGTTGTTCCATCAGTTTGTGACCTAAGCGACACTTTAGCCTTCAGTGGTCAGACATAATGATTCTGTACCGAAGAGTCTGGCGACATGATGTGAAGACAGAGCTGCACTGCTTCTTCTCTATTCTCTGTTTCTGACCTGGATAAGACTCATATCCTTCACTCTGAGCAGCAGAGCTTAATGGCATCAGCTATCTTTAGCTACTACGCTGCTGCATAATGATGGTTTTTAACCCTCTGGCATGTTGAGTGCTCTTTCTCTCTGTCTCGCTCTCTATAACCACTGCTGGAAGTCCAGCTGTGCTGACTCATTGTGTGTTATGTAGGTGTTGGTGGTCTTTACACAAACCCTCAGTAAAATTAAACTGCACATACAGCGGAGAACAGATCTGTACCATCTGATCACTGTTTTATTTGAACATCCAGTCTAACCCTGTTTATCTGAAACTTTATGATCCATCTCATTCTTTGCAGTCACAAACAGCTGACAGAGAAATTATATTAAAATAACAGGAAGTGAGTCTGAGATGTTTCAATATGACAAAAAAAATACCAAATGACAACTCAATGTCATGAAGTCGACATCAGCACATGAATATTTCATAATGTAAAGTACCAGCGATAAGTTCACAAAAAGTCCCCAAAAATTCCTCCCACTGTAACAAATTGCAATTCTCTGTTTTTAACAGTGGAAACTATCACAGCATAAATCAAACTGTATCCTCTGCATAGAAAACAGAAAACATGTTTTTATTAGCTTTAGCTTCAGTCCTTTAGCACCATAATGTGTATATCGCCATTCCCATTCTTATTTTCTGCATATTTTTGCAGGGTTCTCATTTTAAAATCAGATAGAAACATGTAAAGATCAGCTACAGTGCCAGACAAAAGGAAATGACCAAAATACCAAGCCGTTGCCCAGCTGGCCAACAATGTTGTTGATATTTGGTTGAACTTCTTTTGTGACGTCAGGTGACCAAATTCAACGTCAGGACATCTAATGCCAAAGTCAATTTGATGAAGAATACTGACGAGAGATGAAGATAATATGTTTCTGTTTTAAGTTGTGTTGTTAAGTAACCACAATCCAACGTCTTCCAAACATCTCATACCTAAATCATCTTGAGGTAGAATAGCAACCTTAGGTCATAATGTGAGGAGACCAAAACACAACGTCTGCAAAACATTGTAATGTTAACATCCATGCGACGCAACATTATAAGTCATTAGACATTTAAAATATCATTAACCTTATTTTTCCAACCAAAATGTATCGTCTCTTCAGCATAAGAGTCCAAAGTCTTTCTGATGTCATATTGACATCCAATGCCAGCTGGGTAAATGTGGCAATTATTTGTTTTTTTAAACAAAGTTATTGATCTACATATAAATCCTGAGCTAAAACTTGACGACTGACTTAAAGTCCCCTGCCTTTGCACTGTCTGCAAAATAACTAGTGGTGATGCCCAGGCAAAAGGCATTTCACTTAGTACAGTAAGCCCAATACTGTATGATAATTATGACCTAGATAGAATCCAGTGATACATCATGAAACTATCCACTTATTTTGAAATAACAAAGAATAAATAAGTCAATTTGTAGGTTTTTAAAAACCTGCTTACTTTATTTTGATTGTCATTTGATGGTACATTACCGACTCACATCATTAGGACCAAATTACTGTTTTTCCTAACCCTAAAAATTGCAAGTTGTAACACAAAACAGTAAGTTCATGGTGGGGAAACAAAGAACCTTAAGTAAAGTTACAGGATTGTCTTGGTTTCTTCAGACCTTTCCATAGTTAAGGCAGTCTAAAATAAGAGACAGAGTTTTCAGCCAACTGACAGGGTTATCGTCAGGTAATTAGATAATGCTAGCTACTTGTAGCTGAGAAAATCTGTCTCCAACATATTTCAGCCAACAAAATTTCAATGATAAAAAGAGTTTAAAAAGTTTCGATGGTGCTTATGTGCCATGCAAAAGGCCCTCTACTTTTTGTCCGGCTGCTGTTAAACTCTTAATTCAAGTCCCTGCTATCTATACGTCTCCCCCCAACTTCCTGTTCAGAAACATCAAACTATGGAAAAAAAAAATCATGATCTCAAAGCTATTTCAAGGGAGCATCAAGATTAAATAAAGCTGTCATCTCCTCTCTCTTCACTTTTAGCCTGCCGTCCTTCAGAGCTGACGGCCCTGTGAGATTCCTGATCCAGTTTCTCACATCGGGCTTTGAAATGAGCCAGGTTCACTGTAGACGGCCGAAAACCTAAAGCTAAGTGTATATGTCACAGCACGACCACAGCCTCACATACCAACCACAACACCTAACGTAAACCTACATATCTGCACACGTACTGACTGATCAACACACCCTCTCTAAAACAGGTCATAAGCCCCTCTGAGTCAGACAGAGACGGTGTTCTCTCACTTACTGATGGATGGCACTGACCCAGGTCAGCCATGATAGAAGATGTGTGTGTGTGTGTGTGTGTTTGTGGAGTGAATAGAGGAAGTGCACAATTGAGAGGACAGAGTAAGAAATAAAGGACAGCTGGGATAAAGTACAAGAGGTCTGACCCACATTCCTGCTGGCTGTGAGGAAGTGGAGCGCTCCTTGGTTCTGTACTGTGTGCATCGGTGTCCTTGTTTATGTCTCAGTCTAAGGTTCTCTAAGTGTTTATTTTAGGAATAAGGTTAGAATACAGTTTTGGTTAAAGAGGCACCCTTTTCAACCAAGAAGTTCCAGAGTAACTAATGTGGGGACTAAATGTTCCTCTTGCACATTCCTGATAGTGTTTTCACTGCATCTGAAGAACCGCAAAGATTATACAAATTAGATGGCTGATTAAAAAATGGCAGCGGCTTGTGAAGCACAATTTTTTCACATTAGTACACAGCACAGTGATTCTGTTGTACAGTATGACTGATGTTTGAGTTGTGATTGATAAATAACTGAAAAGGAGAAGCGCCTGTCGCCACGGTAAATTATCTGCTGAGTATTTGGTTTATTTATTTTTGTTGTACAAAAACATGTCCATCATGAAACTATCAGCAAATAAAGTTATAGTTCATTCAAAGATTGTAGTTTTGTCGACCACTGCTCTGCCTTTCTCTCATTCACAAAAAGAGTCAATAAGCCAAAAACCAAAATCTGGCTTTAACATTAATAAACATCAAAAAAAATTTAGGACAAGAGCACTTCCTTGTGAAGTCTGAAGTCTGGAGTCTGGTGGGTTTGGCGATAGGGATTTTGGGACTGTTTCTCATTAAACAAAAAGGATCTTACTCTATAACAAAAGGTCTATCTGTGTAGAGCTATTTTCCATAATGTTGTCAGACACTAAGAATACTCCATTTGTCACGTAGACACAAAAACATGAAGGGTCCAGGTTGAAGAATTCCAAAGTTACCCTTTAAAGCTCCTGAACATTTTGAAAGTAGTTCCCCTGTCGGAGCAGGGACGTTTTGCCACCTGAAACTATCTTACAGGAACTAAATATAGTTCCCTGTTCCTCTGGTCAAAACACAGGTTCAGGTCCCAACTTCCTGAAAAGATTCTTGGGTCTCGTGGGACGGTTAATTCAGTGAAGACTGATAGAGTTTGAAAGATGTGGTAGTTTATCAGGTAGGAAAAAAACTGCCACCACAGAAAGATGCTATGAGGGAAGTGTAAGATCCAGTGCTTTTTGGGGCTAACCTACATTAGAGACCAAATGTAAAAAATATTTTGGTATTTGCTGATTTAAATTTGATTATCCTTTTAATCATCTGTCTTTTTAAAGTTGAGTAAAAAATGCTAGTAGTGACGTTACCACCACGCTACTGGGAATGCAGTTAAATTAGTAACGTCACTACTGCCCAACACCATAAAGTTCTTTTTCTTCTTCTTATCCGACCAAACTCTCATTGGTTGGACAGTCGCAGGTGTTACTTTAATAAGGCCATGTGTCCACCACAGCGTTTCTTTTCCCAGCTGGAAATGGCAAATGTTGTTGTTCAGCACCTCTGTGACTGTTTGTCTTTATGGTATTTGTCCCACCCCTTCACCACTGTGATTGGACAGTTAGTGACAGTGATGAGTGCAGAGCTTTACCCAAAGTTTAACATTTTCCAAATCTCATTTTTCATCGGAAAACGGACAAATAATCACAGAAGAAATTCAGTGTCGTATTTATGATTATGGATTTATCTTACTAAGTCTCCAAAAAGATGCAATCACACCAGAGCTAATGTTAGCTTGGATGGCTAACATTAGCTTCTGGGCTAAAATTAGTAAGTCTTTCTCTCACATGCATATGGCAGTGCCCCCAGAGTTACCTTCTACAGTGTCCACTAGTATGTTAAATTTTTATCATCAGTCCTTTTCATTGTTTAGGAGTGAGATGGACTCATGCAGGCAGCTCAGGTGGAAAAACATTACTGTGCACAGTTTATTTTTGGATAACATCACATTGGAGATCACATTTATGTTTCACTTGAGGCATTCCACTTGCCTGAACAAAGAGTTAACTTGCCCTGGGCGAGTGTTAATGCCGAGCCCTGTGACAGGAACAAAATGCTTTGGTGGACAAACAACACTACCAGGTAGAATGCACTCAGTGCACTGTGGCTGATTGACTTAATCTAGAGATAATGTGCATTTTTTTTCCTCCATCAAACAATTGATTGGTTGAAGATTAGGTACAATTTAAGTCGACCATGATTTTTGTTTTTGTTTTTAATACAGTCCTACACTTTAGGAACCTTTTTTTGTCCATAGCATTAGTGTCACCTAGTCCTCCACTGCAATGACCATGATGGGGATGTGACTCTATGTTTACACTGCTAGTTGACAAATTAATGTTGAGAAGGATAAACCACACTGCTCTCAGTGAATAAAGAAAGTGTAACCTTAATTCAGCACTGTGGGTTGTATGCTGCATGTGTTTTTAATAGTATTTAGAGGACTGAGGCGCTCAATAGCTTTAGATTAAGGCTGTGCAACAGTGCATCAATGTGTGAGAGTGTGCATGCATCTCCCGTGTGAGTACTTACAGTGTCTAAGGGAAGCCTCTTCAAAACCTTGTACTGTTTCTTTGGCTCTAATTTGTAGACGCACTTGTCTGTGATGAGCACGGCACGGTCTGTGCTTTTGTTGAATCTGTTCACCTGAGAGAGCAGAGGGAGGAGAGAGAGAGAGGAAGATCTGTAGCATTTCTATTTTCTGTGAAGAGCCTTTTCTTGCCACTTGTAGGATCTTTTGGGTTATCATGACTCTCGATTCAGAGAGGTTTTCCTTGTGGAACGCACGCAACAAAACAAAAAAGGCAAATTCAGATAAAAAGACAAAGGCTCTCGTGGGTCTGTCAGTGTTGGAGGTTGTTTTATTTCACTTTATCAAAGCCTGCATATCTTCAGAAGTACTTTGGCTAAAGCTGCACCCAGAATTTAGTGGAAGCCCTCTCTCTACAATCCCTGATAAGGAAAATATGGCCATTATTATCCACAGGGAGATGATAAGGGCAGGTTCATCATGAGGTGAAATAATAAGCAGGGCCTAACTGACTCCATTTAGTGAAATCACAACGAGCAAGCAAAGGAAATCTTAAAGGTTAAGAACTCTGTAGGAGAGAATTCATAGCTCAGTTCCTTTTGTGATTAATCCTCTGATCATTATTTCTTATCTCATTTCTGAGAGGGTTGTATTCACCGCTGGAACACGAAAACTTGAAAGACGAGCCGACACAAAAGAAAGAGAATGAGGGGGTGGAAAGGAGAACACAGCAAGTGAGAAAAACATCCCAAAGGAAGCAACAAAAGAAAGAAACTCCTTGTATAAAACAGACATTTTCATTTCAGCGTGTTCTTTTCCCACATACTGTACCTTCCGACAGAAGCCAGAGAAGAGGACCTGACTGTACTCGTCTTTGTTCCTCAGCTCCTTGGAAGCACGCATGAAGCTGGAGCTGGTCTGAGGGCAGTCTCGCACCTGCACAAATGAAAGACCCCGTGTCATTTCCAAGAAGCCACCAGCCACAGTACGGTGGTATAGGAATGTGTCTCGTTGTGGGTTGTATAAAACTCTGGGTGACCTCTCTCAGTCCCTTTCAAGCCTTTTTTATCGCTTTAATTCCATAAGCAGCAGATCAAAAGCTTGTGGCCTTGGGCTGCTGTTACCAGACACGGTGTTTGACGTGCCATTAGAGAGGAAGCATGGCGGTTGATACTGGAGTTAAACTGCCTGATGAGAAATACAGTCGGGGGCTGCTAATCTAAAACCATGTCACCGTCTGCCTCCTATAGAGCCGTCACAATAATGTCTCCGCTGCTATGAGACAAAGAACTGCTTTGCATTCACTAAATGGGCATTCAGCAAAATTCTTATTAAAATATTCAGTAGATGTAAGGATGTATGCATACTGAATTAACCAAAGCATATGGCCAAAAGTATGTGGACATCTCTTGTCCTTGTGTTTCCATTACCAGGTTCAAGTTGTGTCAAATCAGGCCTGAGATGGACAATCTCTGAGGCCAAAGCGTGCCAAACAGGTTGCAGAGGCATCAATTGGGCCTTGTCATCATTTAAAAACACAAATACATAAACCATCAGAGGAATCCTGAATATGTCGTATACAGATGGTGAAAAAATAATTAAATTCACTGTGCCGCTCAATGGCTACAGGCAGCTACCGGCAGCTTTTAAAATGGAATGTTTCCTTGCATGTTACTCAATGTGTGAGTTAATGTTGTGAATATGTTACCACCCATTAAAGGGAAACGTCTGTGTTTATTAACCTGGACCCTATTTTCCCATGTTTTTGTGTCAAACTGATTAAAGGGAACAACAGTTTTTTAAATCACTCCAGTATTGAGAGAGACTGCTGCAGCAAAAGAGGTGAAACAAGCTGCAGGCATTTGTGCACCATCAATTTATGTCCACTAAAAGTGCCTGTTTTTGCCACTGACAGGCTCAGATTACTATAATTTTATGATAACATTATGGAAAGGATCCTACAGACAAATAAAATGTTTTGATGATCAGGTCTGTTTGTTCTGGCGACCAAGTCTCACTCATGGAGAAGTCTTGTTTGAAATCTAATAAGACGTATTTTTTTTCAGGAAACGTGGGAACATTAGTGAGAGTTGGAGAGAGGAGTTTATGTTTATGTTTATGTTTATTTTATTTAAGAAGGGACAGTGCACATTAATTAACATGACCACTTAAGTCACGTAAATGTGCCAGATTTAGCCATACAGGCTAATTTTAATCTGCAGTCCCTGGCAGGTTGATGGTATATACATATATATATGAACAGGCATTAAAATAACGTACAGAAGCACAAAAGCACAGTGTGGGGAAGACTTTATTGTGTTGGAGTACAGACAGTGTAGCTCAGTGTTATCTGAAATATTTTCAGTGTCTTGGCTGAGCTGATTTGAACAAACAGACCAGATCGGTGAAAGGTGTATAGAACGTTTCATTTCTTTGTAGGATCCTTTCTAAAATAACAATGTGAGCCTGTCAGTGGCAAAAACAAGCACTTTTAATGGGCATAAATTGAAGGTGCACAGTTGCCCATTGGTTTAATATTGCAGCCTGTTTCACTGCTTCAGCTGCAGCAGTCTTGCTCAGGCTAAATGTCAATTAGACAACTGACCATTTCAATTGATTTCACTGTCTCTCTTGCACAACACATGCTCCAGTGATGTCTGGATCTTAAAAAATCTTTAAAATTTTTTTAAATGAATTACAACAGGAACATACAAATTGTGACTATTCTATTTCCTCACTTGGAGCAAAAAAGTGGTGAGTGTCATTCCAGGGTTCTCCAGCAGCACTACGCCCACAGTATGCTTCTGAGACACTGCAAGCAATCTAGTGGAGATGGGCATCTAGCATATGTTGGTGCAGTGCTGGGACCACAATAATACCAGCAGGTAGGGCTGCCACGATTAGTCGACTAATCGATGACTAATCGACTATTAAAATAATCGGTGACTATTTTAGTAGTCGACTAATCGGTTTGAGTCATTTTTCATAGAAAAGTACTATAAAGTACCCCAAAATACTCTTACTGCAGGTTCTTACGTTCAGATATTGGCAGCTTTACACACTCTCCCGTGACAGTGAACTAAAACCTTTGGCGTGAGTATGAAACAAGACATTAGATGACGTAATTTTGGGGTTTGGGCAAGAAAGACCGACATTTTTCAACATTTTAACACATTTTTCGATGAAATGATTAGTCGACTAAACGAAGAAATAATCGACAGATTAGTCGACAATGAAAATAATCGTTAGTGGCAGCCCTACCAGCAGGCAGACAGAAAAATGTTCCACTGGTTCACAAGCACATCAGTAAAAGACACCTTCAAGCGTGTAGTCAGCTCCATAAAGTAATGGTTTTAAGAGTTGGGTAAGGATGCACTCAACTGGTCTGCACATCGATCCCCATCCAACACCTTTGGGCTGAACTTGTTACAGCAGAATGACCATGTTTCTAGAATCAATTAGATGTTTAAAAATGATACCACATATCTCGGATGTCTTAAGCAGAATTGGCTTTTGTTATTCCGATGGAAATATGCTGAAAAGGTAAGGCTTCCTCACGGAGCTCAGGATGGCACCCCACGCAGAAAGGTTATCAAATAATTTAATCATAACGCACTTCTGGACTTTCCAAATTTTATTGGACTTTATCAATTTCTGATGATACAAAGAGTCTGGGCAATGCAGACGCAGTGTTAGCAATGATTGTGGATGGGGGGAAAATGGATGTAAATAGCTATTCCAAGAAAGATCTCGGCTTTGATTTCTAGGATGAGCCTGAATTTGAAATAATGAAGCAAACTTCCTGAATCTTGTGATCTTGTTGAGCATTTTTGAGAAGACATGACATACACTAATACGTCTAACTTTTCTTTTTACCGTCTGTACCTAAAGACTTGCACTAAAGTAACGTCAGTCACATACAAGTCATGATTCAGGCTGACTGCATGCCGGATTACATGCACTTATCTATAGGTCTTTGTGGAATTAACCACAATCTCGTGAAGCTGGAGCCCTGAAGGAGGGCAGCAAGTCACGGGCCGTCTGACAAACTAACGAGGGGAGTGACTCAGTCATGCTCACGCTCCCTGAAGGCGTCTTTCAAGCCTTCGGCCACCAAACAAGCTCAGATTAGCTGTTAAATGAGCCGACTGTGGGATTCATTAAAGAAGGGCTGTGTTCACAGGCACCATCCTTCTTTAGTCACACTGTGAGGCTCTGCGTCACATGCACCATATACATTCACAACAGCAGATGCTGTGATCCAAAACACTGCTGCTTATTCAAGTCTTGTTTACTGCGATACATTCAAGTGAAAAAATCCAATGGATTTTCCCACTTATTTTCAGATAAGACAAAAGCATTTTGTTGTGTTGGTTTACAGTAAATGAGGTCCTCTTGTGGCGAGGAATGCTTAGAAAACACTTCTGGGAGAAAACACAAAACTTCTGTTGATTTTACATCAGAGTCCATGAGAGCAAAAACTATTAGAAATAGAAGATTAAACTACAAAGTGTCCGCACTGCACTGTGGGTTTATTATTTTGCTATCTTTTTGCCCAAGCTTCAAAGCAAACCAAATTTCCCACAACAATCACAAATGAAACTGTGGATGTGTTATGAAAGCTAAAAAGCTGCTTTACATCATTAATAATTTTAAAAATACCATCTTGTTAGGGGTATGTTTGTGTGGTGCACTTAAAAAGGGGGCACAGAAATATGGTTGATGATGAACAACAACAGAAAATAAGACCTGTTTAATTTTGGAAAAGTGGAAAAAGGACAAGTAACAGTACCAGCTTTTTTCCACAGCTATATTCATCACAGGGAACTTGCTCTGGTGACTTTAGTATTAAACTCTGGTCACGTGATAACGTGGTCGTATATCAAGGATATAAGTCATCTGTCCCAGGTCATGTGATGATGCCTGATAAGGTTCCATTTACTGAGGAGGGTCATGGGTTACAATCGAAAGCACCAGAACCATTTTATACATTTGTTTGTTTACGTTTGTTTTAGTTGTTTTAACCTGACTTTTAAAGCCTAATCTGAGTGCTGCATACACATCACATCTGCTGCATTGCTTCAACTTATGTGACAACATTTGCACTGTCCCAGTTGGATAAAATAAAGGCCCTATTCACACACGAGTAGTATTACCTGCAGACCTCTAGTAATTTGTAAGAATTACAGTAGTGGACTGTGATCTTAATCCTGTGTAAATCTGCCATGTCCATAATTTGTCAAGTAAATATTCCACCTCAAAATACCAAAACACAGAGGTCTTGTGATTAGTCCAGTGCAAATTGGCTTGGAGTCGTATATATTTATTGATTTTGTAAGATTTTTTGTTTTCTCCACACATTTTCTGCCTTCTTCTCAGTCAAGAATTATGGAGGCTGAAGCTCAGCGTAAGTTCAATCAGGAAGACTTTCTTTGCACTCATCCATTCACAATTCTCTCCCTCCCCCTCCCACTGCTTCCTCTAATCAGCTGACTATGGGTGTTCACTCTTCTAGTTATCCAATCAAGCTTTGCCACGATCTCTCTCAGCCAATCAGGATGCCACTGCAAAATTTAAAATCTGCTCTCTCTTCTGCTGCTGCCTCCACCCCGTTCACCTCCAGCCATCGTATCCAGAGTCCAGGACAAGCTCAACAAAGGCTCATTCCACTACTCATCAGCACTTTTCCATCTATTCTTTTTACTATTAAAAAACGACTCTCTCCTGATTGAAATGAAGGTTTTGGCAGCATTTTGGGTGCAGGGAGCTCATCTCGCTATGACATCATATCCAGGGGATAATGTCAGTAAATCTGAGTAAAATACAGAATAGCTTATCCTATGACAAATGTGCCGCACGATACACAGACGTGAGGAGATCATTTCTAAATCACATGAGGTCCCCTGGTAATACTAGTCCTGTGCAGATAGGGCTTATGACGTACATAAATTAGAACTGAAACAATTGGCAGAGGAAGTTGATCTGCAAACATTTTGGACTGGTTAATCATGATTTGACATTTTTAAGCAGAAGTAACACAATTTCAGTGGTTGCAGCTCTTAAAATGTGACTTTTTGCTGTTTTTTGTGATCATAAACTTAATATATGCGGATTTTGAACTGCTGCTCAGAAAAAACAAGCTGTTTTGAGCACATTAACCTGGGCTTTGGGAAATTGTAATGAGCATTTTTCACTTTTACTACATTTAATTCATAATAAAAATGATGGGAGTTGCAAATAAATAAATGAGTAAAAGGGTGAACTTTGAATACTTCTACACAGATATGTCTTCCCATGGTAAAGAATAAAACTTCAGTTTGTTTTATGTGTGGCAAATATCGGGAATAATCATGGACAACTTTCCCATGATGTGTGGTAAATTACAGATCTTTGTGTTTTGTTCATGTGCAGTTCTTACATTGGACAGGTAGTCCCTCTCCCAGGCTCTGCTGACTCCCCAGTCTTTCCTCTCTCCGCTCAAAGCAGTCAGAGCCGCAACTTTGGCTCGAACCTCCAGCATGTCAGACGGAGGGATGTTCTTCACAATCTGCCTCGCCCACCACCTGACAACAATGGATGGGAACAAGACAGCATGTCACGTGGGCGGAATAATACATCAAAAGGTGCAAGAGAAAACACATCCTTGTTGTTCCAAAACTCCCTCACTCACTCAGAAACTCATTCAAGTTATTTTACAGTCGCTGAGAATTTATGTTGAAATTTGGCAGAAATAATGATCAATAATCAAACTTATTTCAATGCAAATCAGTGTTTTAGAGCTAAATTAAAAGATCAACACCACTCTCATGTCGGTGTGTTCCTATGAAGCTGCAGCCAGCAGTGCTCACAACTTTAAAGTTTAAAGTTTCTTGTTTATTTCATCTGTACTATAACCTAAGTGTAAACGGCTCGCTGTGCGTTTGAGGGCCATAATATGATGCATTTCCTGTCCAAGCACAGTGATGTGCTAGAGTCTCAAGACGTAGCTTTGGACAGAGCCAGAAGTTGCTTCCCTGTTTGAAGTTTTTACTCTAAGCTAAGCTAACTGGCGGCTGGCTGTAGTCTCAAACTATTCCTTTAAGGGGTTAAAGTTTCATTTTGTTTCCTTATTCAAAACAGATTTGTGATTATTGTCCAAAGTAAAATATGGTTATAAACTAAAGCCTGATTTATGGTAGGGCGCTCGACACTTCGATGAATGTTTCTCGCCAGAAATGACGTATGTTTGACAGTGTATCGTCTCGTCCATGTCCCACATTAGTTGGACCAAAACATATTCACCCTGTAGCTCCCTTGTTTAGTTCCTTTTCTTGTGCTCACATTGTCTTCTCATTAGCAGTAAGTTTACAACCTCTTTCTTTTTCTTTTAACCCACTGATTTCATCAAATCCCTCCATCATCAAAATGCAAAAGTAAACAAAGAAGCACACATTTAGATGCAAAATAAAATAGCTTTCAGAGGGACATATATATCGATTAGGATATTGGAGGATATCATCTGGTTACCATACATTGAAAACAGCTCTTTAATTTCTGTCGACGACACTCATCATAAGTGTTGAGCTTCCCGTCATAAATCAGGCTATTTTACATAAATACTAATATTAATATGGGGTATGAGATCTTACCGGCGATGCAGCATGACTGTGTTGTTGTGAAACTGGGACAGAGCTGCAGGCGGGGTCGGCCACTCCACACTCTTTCCGTAGTCAGCCATGGTTCGCACGTTAGCGAACCTCCTCTCCACCTCCCAGAAGTGGGCCTTCACCTTGTAGCGCTTATAGCAGCCCATAATGGTGTAGATGGCCCTCATTCTTCGGCACCTCATGCGAGCCAAAGCCCCACGCCACACCTGGGAGTTAAAAAAAAGAGGGATGTGTTAAAGACAGAAAGGAAGAGAGGGGAAACTAGAGAGTCCCACTGAGCTGAACTTGTGCTCCAGTTAAAGAACCAGACTTCTCCGCAGAGTCATCAAAGTAGGTCAGGGAACAGAGAAAGGAGCAGGGTGTTTCATTGAGCAAGTGCAGTAATTGACTGTAATGTAACTGTGCTCTGGATCTCATTAATTATCCCAATTATTGTTACAGGAAATTAGGATTCAGGCTGGCAGATGAATTCCAGTCAAACATAACCAGGAGCCACATATTCATGAGGCTGAGGCAAACTCCAGTCTCAACTCTGAAACCCAGAGGCCTGGGTTTGAAACTGGAGAAGATAAAGTTGCAGGTGATTAAAGGAGCTCACGTGATCCAAGCTGCGCCTGGCGTTAAATTAGGTCTCTGTGTCAAGTAACTGGACTGTCAGATCAATACATCCTTAGACACAGTACATGCACAACTTTAAAAACAGCTGAAGAGATGTGATGTTTCAAATCGTGCTGAGGCTGTGGATGAATACCAAGAGTGCAGATGATGACGACACCGATGGCAAACAATATAGTGATACTAATATGGCTGACCTTCTGCAGGAAGAGCACCAGGATGGGAATGAGGGCCGCTCTCTCCTGCTCCAGAGTGTAGAGGGACCGCGGCGTTCTGACAAACAGCTTAGTGTGTCCGTACGCCACATCGTCCTGGAAACCATGCTGGTTTACGATGGCTTCCACAGCCTCTCTGTCCGAGGCCATCAGGTGGTTCGGCCAGGTGTACTCGCACGTCATTTTATACCTGAAAGTTACAGAGGAAATCAGGGCTTACAGCATGGAGACAAGGGTGCAGCTCAGGACTTCTTTCTGTATATACAAAAGTGAAATTGTTACTATAACTGGGTTGCTTTTTAATTTACCTTTACCTTTTATTTTTATATGGAGGATGGAAAATGACTTAAGTATAAATAAATGAATAAATTAACGTGTAAATAAATACAAGAATTAATAAATATGTAAATAAATGCATAGATAAATGAACAAATAAATAAAGGTTGAAAAAATATGTAAAATAAATACTTAAATGCATAAATAAAAAAAGTTTAATTAAATAGGACATAAAAAATAAAAATCTTAAATGTATGTCCTTTAATACACCTACATGTATTTATTATCTTTTTTTTTTTTTATTCATTTTTATTCACTGATTGATTTTTGTATTTATTTACTTATCTATTTACTCCTGTATTTTTGGTATACATTAATTTAATTTCTCATTATCTCATTATTATTACTCATTATCTCTTTATTTCTAATTATTCCTGTATTTATTTATTTTATGTACTCATTTATTTCTGTATTTATTCATTTATTTGTTTATTTATTTATTTCATGTACTCATTTATTTTCATATTTATTTGTTTATTTATTTATTTTGATACTTATGTCATTTTTTCCCCCTCCATACTTTTAGCCAGTTTTTTTTTTTTTAAAGGGTCACTCCACCAATTTTACATGTTATGGTGAATTTCTTAGTCACAGGGACGTCTACTCAGCTTGTGACGCTGGGAGTTGTATAATGTCCTCTTTGGGTCTGGAGAAGATCTGTGAAGTTTATATTAAGACTGCATGCAGCGTTGTTCTCCAATTTTAAATGTAACTTATCGTTAACTTTTAGGTTAACAGTTTTAAATAAAATTCCATCTTAGTAGCAAGGAGCACTGGATAGTTTGGTATATTTTACACTGCTGTGTCACACTGAGCTGCTTAAGTAATACAAAAAGACACAAGTTTTTCTCAACTTCCTCAGACAGATATCTACAAAAAGATGAGCTGAAACACAGAGGAAGTCTTGCTTCATAGAGCCTCATATTCTCTTACCGCTGTAGGACGCGAGCGTAATGCTGCCTGTAGGCAAAGCCCGCTCTGCGCACCATCACATTCTCCATCAGGCCCAGGTAGGCCACCTGGTGCTGGCACCGGGCATCATCAAACAACACCGGAGACTTCATCTCGTTGGGCTTTATGCAACGCACGTAGTAAGGCTCCTGAAAGACAGAAGAGATGTAGGTAACTCATCAGCTGACATTGTTCCAGTGTTGTTGCTGCAGGACTGAGAAGTGAGATCATTTTATTTACTGTAAATTATTTTTCTGGTATCACATCATCGCATTGCTCTAACTGACTTGTGCATCAGTATACAGAAACATAGACAGTAATACTGCAAGAAATCAAAGGATGACATTAAACACAATAAAAGTACCACCGTAGCATGACACAACGTTGCTCCAACACTTGACATGATTCAGTGTTTGTATGATTGAGGCAATATTTTTTCATAACACTCTTGTTTTATCACCTGCACAAACTTTGATTTTTGTCATGTTTTAATCATTGTTTTCATCACTGCTGTGTTCATCACTGTGCGAGTAAATAAACCATACTCAGCTTGTAAACGATGACAGAGCCCCAGCCAAGCTGTAAAACTGGCAATCTGAGTTCACTGACCTTAATCAGACTTGCAGAGTATTCCAACAGATGCTACAGTGAGCAGCTGAGCCTCATAACACATCCAGCACATCTACTTATTAACAGCACATTAAACTGCACATTTCAACTTTGAAGACGATAAAGCCTCCAGTGTGAAGCTACAGCCGGACGCGTGCACCTTGACAGGGATCTCTAAGGGACACGTTCATCCTGTCAAAGAACAGAGACTGCTGTGTTTTCACTCTCTGTCCATGAAAGATGAACAAGGCGGAACAAAGTGAACACTTTCTGCTCCCCAACACTGTCGTCCATCATATCAATGATGCATGTGCATGTGTGCCCCTTGTTTCAACGTAGCTGAGCAACGTTTTCTTGAGATTCAAGAAAAGAGTCAGTTAATGGGGGCTGGAAGCAAATGGGGTGGGCAGAGTGGGCACAGGTGCTTCTGTTCGGCAGCTGAAGAAAACATCCGCTCTTCCAACGTGACCTGAAGGTTGCCAGGGGAGTTTCCTTTCATTTTACCTCAGCCACACCAAGACGAGATGCTACAACAGCCTGACAGCAGGCCGTCCCAAAATAACAGCAGGAAATGTCAGACTTCAGTCAGTGAGATGAGGCCAGGAGAGGTGAGCAGAACATTCTGTGGTCCAACACCACCTCCCCCTCACCACCCTATCAACTCCACACACACACAGCCAGACGGGATGAGGACAAGCGACCTACAAAAACTGTTACTCTCTGACACCAAAAAGAGCACATTGCTATGTATACATGTTCCTGCTGGACGGCTGCATACTGCCTCCAGCGCCATACTTTGTTATGCTTGGTGAAGAGCCGTCCTCCCAAAAGAGACATCGCACAGACACATTGGCAGCCTCAGAATAGCCTGTGACTCATACAGGCTTTACAGGGACCAGAACAGGCAAACTGGTGCAGAGCATCTTCCAGATGACAACAGAGGAGTAAACTGGAGAAAGATCTATGTTGGTGCTAAATACTCCAACATGAAAATATGATTACAAAATCAAACCTCCGGTGGCTTTGGTTTGACACCAATTCTGCCCTACAAACCCAAAACACAGTAACTACATATTTGGTCAAAACAGTGCTCTGACTTGTAGTCAGAGTCTGTCTTAGCGTATGAAAAATTGAACACAGTAATGTATCATTTAACTAACTAACATTTAACTGCAAAGCAGGGCTACAAATCAGGTCAAACAACAGTAAAGTGAGGCCAACTCAGCAAAACAAGACAGCTATCACAAGTGTTAGCTAGCTAACAGGTAGAGATAGTCACAGTTAGCCAAAAGCTAAAATGAAATTTACTTATCTATTTACATCCAAATTTTTCCCAGCTCTTTTCTGTAATTGAAAAATATCTATTTGATAAATCCTCACTTTATTATTGTAATAAATGAGGCAGTAGCTAAATATAATTCTGATAGAAAAACCTTCGACCTTTGACCAATGACAATCAAAATCTAATTAGTTCACACTTGACTTAACCCCCCGGAGTCGATGGACACGCCAGTGCGTCCAAATCACATGACCGATTTAAGATGACATAGCAGCAAGACGCAGCTTTGCTGAGTCTCCGTTTCAAATTGTGTTGAAAGTGCGAACTTCAAACTATATACCATTTTTAAATTGTGTTGATAGGCCAAGTAAAACCAGAGTTTTGATAAGCTACGCCCTGCTTTTTCCTGAATACTGTCATCACATTTGGTGCAGGAAGAAAAACAGGCTATTCTAAGGAAAGTGCTTGCAAGCAAAAAACACACATGACACCACCTTTCCTATTGGTGGTTTTTTAGTGTGATTTTAGGTCCAATGTAACTGTAAAGTCACACACGTGAGGTTGTGCTGAAAAGATGACACCAAACAAGGCAAGGTAAACAGTTTTTAAGGTGAAATTTAAAGGTATTCAAAAGTAGCCAAAAACGGCCAATTATACCCATGACCCCAGAGGGTTAAAGTGGATGTTTGCACCAAATTTGAGGAAATTCCCTCAAATCGTTCTTGAGATATATTCACAAAAATGGGACGTACATATCGTAGGCACGGAGGCATAAAAAGAGAGAGATATTTCATTTTTTGTGAACTATAGATTGTAAATAATCAAAATCTTTATTTTCTTTAAGAGACACAACATTTTGTTAATATTTTATGATGATGTTAGATTATTATCATGTACATTCTATGGCATCTTGACGACAGTACCACTTCTCTATTTGTTCTGCAGTTTTCAATCCAACCTAAAAACCTTTTCTCAAAACTTACTGCTCTCTGCCTTTGCACCGCTGCTTGGCTTTACTTCATATGTGTCAGAATTGGGTATCTTTAATCCATCTAAAAAGTACAAATGCCAACCACAGCTTCCTCCAGGGGTTAACGGGAAAAGAACAGGAAGTCATTTTTAAGCTGAAACCACTGACCTTGCAGCTCAGTTTATCCACCAAGGCCACAATGGAGTTCTTGAAGAGGGTGGCTGCAGTCAGAGGTCGCTTGGTGACCTCTGTGATACTCAGCTGACCATCTGGCCACATCTCCTTCAGGACTGGGTTGGCACTATGAGAAAGAGAAGGGAGCAGGAAAAGGGGGGCAGAGAGTGAAGAGAGGGTGTCAGTAACTGGGCTAGCAGAGGAGTGATGTGCATGAAACTCATTTATACACTTAACCCAGTTACTGAACTGTCAAGAGCATCATGATGTTTGGCACCTGTTGTACATGAGACGCTTGAAATCTTGGAAAAGCAGGTCCTTGTTTTTGTCCAGAAAGCCTTCGACAGAATATCTGTAATAGATGTAGAACCAGAAAGTGAGAATAATCGAGAGTAATTGTAAAACAAAGTGGCTCAAAAGAAGGAGCACTTAGAGTGAGGAGGTGTGTCAGAAAAATAATTTAAATGACAAGAAAGTAACACAATTTAAACAGTAAGCATCTGCCACTAAAAGGGTCACTATCACTACCCATTTAACAGACTCCATTCTCTGCTCCAAATGATTCACGGCCTTCAGGCTAGAGGATTAGAACAACAGTCATGCCGCTCAGACGATTTACAAATTAGGAACATGGTCAGATTCCCCCCACGGCTCACGTTTTGGAGAAGAGAAAAAAAAACTGTCTACAAACTAATCTGTCTGCCTGTTTTTAAACTGCTCAGTTGGTTTTGTTGAGGCATCAGCGGGAGGTCACGGGCGCACTGTGCGGCACGGTTACATAAGCCGTCCAGCCTCGGGGTGAGAGCCTGCTGTAGTGTAAGTGTTGCCTCACACGAACCTCTCCCTCTCCTCTTTCATTTACAGTGTCACAAAAACTTACACAGTGTGGATGATTCGCTTAAAAAACGCACACTGCATTTAAAAGCCTGCTTAGGTCTCAAGTATTATCAGATAAATGTACTTAAAAGGTCAAAAAAGTACCAGTTCCACAGAAAATGGCCACTGTGGGTAATGTATTATCTTATATTTCTATAGTTTTACTTTCTCAGACAGTTATTAACTAAAACCATGTAAGACACTGAGAGAGGGACTCACTCTCATAAGGTCACTCACCAGTGATTTGGAAATCACTGGCTTACAATCATAAACTGTACACAATAATGGATGGAGCTACCATGACATCACCCACTGGTTTGTGGACTGCCATTTTAAAGCCTGAAGTTTGGCCACAAGTGACCATATTTGGACGAGAGGTTTGCGCTGTGAAGGAGTGAGGGGTGGAGCTGACTGAGAAGCCGAGGACACTAGCCACAGACAGCCTGTCACTCAAGTGGCCTCGCCCTTAAATATGAATAACATTAAGCCTCGATAAAATGTAAACAGGTGAGTTATATAAAAATTCATCCCCCTACAGTTGTCCTTTAACATTGGCATGATACGCAGCAGGTTGCTCTGCGTCAGAGGGAAACGCAGCGGGACAAGGACGAAAGTTAAGTCGGCAAAAGTCTGAGTAGGGCAGGTGGGATTGGTGGTGGATGGGTTCAACAAACACCGACTTTCACCCGAGAGAGCAGTGTTCGCATCCTGTAAGATTCTAAAGCCAAACTTTTCCTAAACCTAACGATGTGTTTGACATAGTTCGTTATTTTGAAAGAGATTGTATGTAAACGTTAAATTTCCTGTGAAAACAGAAGTGTATCTTGAGAGAAGACAATGCATGCAACAGGCAGAACTTGACACAGCGTCCCAGAACGTCAACAACCAACGCACATTGCACGTTGTATGTGGACATGGAAAGTCCATGACAATGTGTGACGATGTCGGCATGAGAACGTGTTGATATATCAGTGGTGGAGGAAGTATTCAGATCTTTCACCTAAAGTTCTAGTGTTTAGGGTCAGAAATGAAATATAATATTGCTAACTTAATAGTTTTATTAGTTTACAATCACCTGAAATAAGAATCGTTGTGCTTTTGTTGCCTTAGATGAGCAGTTTCTACCTACATACAGAGTGTTAACATCTACATACAGAGCCGGTCCTTTTCCACGGAGTCCACCATGTTTCTACAGTAGCCCTGCACAAGCTAAAGCTAAACACACTGGCTCTAGATAGGGCCATTTGTATTTTCACGACAGCCTCTGTAGTTCTCCTATACATCTGACACACAAGAGAGGTCTCAATTGGTTGAAATCTGCAACCTCACCAGCAGATGCCACTAAATCTTGCACACTGGACCTTCAAGTAAAGTACCAATGGTATAGTACCAATGTAGAAAAATCCATTACAAGTAAAAGACCTGCATAAGAAATTCTACTATGCAGACAAAATGTACTTAAGTATTACATTAAAAGTACTGAAATCACTAGAATCAGTTCATTAAAAAGATTCGTTCACCAAATCGTTGTGCTTGGCGGGAGGAGCGCTGACTGTGTACTGCGTAGTCCGACTCACTGAACTGATACACAGCTGAGCTGCTGCTGCGTCTGCCCTCCGCTGGTGAGTCTCATTACTGGCCAGCCTAACGTTTTAAGTTTATCTGGAAGCTAAGTCTGTTAAAACAATGGGGAGGTGTGTGATTGTGTTCATGTGGCTTGACTCCTGGCTACATTAGCTGTTGGCTTGGAGAAAACGGTCTGTATGAAAATGTATCGCTGAGAAGAAATGATTTGAATCACTCAGGGATCGGGGTTACGTCGTTCACTGAGTGATTCGTTCACCGAGTGATTCGTCACGCAGTAGGCAGTCCCTCCCTGCACCCTGGCTGCCTCATGACTCGTGAGTGATTCATTGTTTGCATGGACCGAATTGGCAGTTCCACTCCCAGCCTGCACGCTTGCTGCTGAGCTCAACTGAACTGAGGAATGAACGAATCAGTTCCAGAAATGATTCAGTTCAGTACGTTCACTCAACAGATTCGTTCTTTTGAAAGATTCGTTTGCGAACGACACAACACTAGTACTGTAAGTAGCATAGTTACTGTTGCAGCTGGTAAAGATGGAGCTAGTTTTAATACTAGCTTTAACAGCTTTATATACAACCTAGGGGTTATGCTCCTTCCAAAAGGTCACAGAATAAATGTAGGAGGCAATAAGATGATTAATAAGAAAAAAACATGCATTTTATGTGCTTTTTGGGGAAATAAATCATTTTACCGCTTTATTTAACTAAGATCATGTGTGAATTTTAGAGTGGAAATCACTCTTTGGTGGAACTGCTTGCAACTCATGGTCATGAGCCAAAAAGGTTGGAAAACACTGGCTTAAACTGCATTTATATTATATTTTTTATGTAAAATCTAAATCCACAACATGCCTATAGCTGTCAGATAAATGCAGTGAAGTAATAATTGTACCATGATACACTCATTGTATCTGTCACAATAACTACTTTTGTTGGATGGTGACAGCAAAATGTGTCACCATGATTTCTTTTCTGTTCATTTGGCTTAGGCAATGTGAAAAAACGCTTAGGCGCTTGTATTCAAGTGTTATACTGGCAGGAAAAAACCTGCTGTTTATTCTGGCATCATGTTGACTAAAATGTAGGGGGCATTCGTTTGTAAACAAACAGGCACGTAAACACAAGTGCAATATCGTATAATATACAGACATGACCTCAGTCATTTTTGCTGATATTAATAAGTCAATAACGTAATTATTGCAATAGGAATTTAGTGAAGTAAAAAGTACAATATTTGCAGTGAGGTCAAAGTAAAATATTCCTGTCTGAAATGTAAGGGTGTAGAGGTATAAAGAAGGATGAAATGGAAATACCTACAGTACCTCAAAACTATACTTAAACAGCACTTGAGTAAATGCACGTCCACCACAGTAGTTCACACTGCACACACACACACACACACACACACACACACACATATTACTTTTACATATTTCCTCTGCATTCCTCTTCAGCAAACACACACACACACAAACAAAACCACAGGCGCACAGCATGTCACATGTCATCTGCATGGCCCTGTCTGCGATTGTGTCCTCGGCTGTCACATCTGGAGGCAAAGAAGCGGAGGCTAGCTACGACAGATGTGTCCCCTTGGCTCATGGGTGGCGAAAACACCTGACCAAATCCCGGGAAGCTTGCCGGAGAGAGACAGAGTGTGAAAGGAGAAGGGAGAGCAGTCAGGACAACACAATAACAAGCCACAGCGCTCATTTACAAGGACAGGACAAGACAGGACAGGACAGCCCTGGGAGAGGACGGACAAGAGAGGACATACCGAGATAAAGGCAGGGGATCTCCAGAGACAGGAGGATGATTTAGAAGAGAGTGTATTAAAGTATGAAGGTCAAGGATGGTGCAAGGAGAGGGCTGCATTACACAAGGTTAGACAGAGCTCACACTGAGAGAGCCATGCAACAAAGATGTGAGATTTCTTGCAATATAAAGTTGCGCACTATGGGAATATGATACATCTCATGGCTGCTCAAAGTGCTGCATGTGCAGGCTGAAATACTGCAGGGAATTAAAATGTGGATGGCAAAGAGAGTCAGGTGAGGGTTGCAGTGCAGAGGGAGGAGAAAAGAGAGGAAACAGGAAAGAGAAGGAGGAGGGAGCAAAGTAGGTCAAAGCTTGTGATAGTGGTGGTGTGGTGAGGGTGGAGGCGGGAGGGGGTGGGGGCAGTGGGTGGCGAGGATGAGGATATATTTAGCCAGAGAAGACTCAGATGTGGTGGGATGGGACAGGGATGATGGGTGGGGGGGTCACTGCCACCAGGAAGCAATATACAAGGGGTGACAGCTCAGCTGGAGCGACCCCGATGTGAGGCAGGGTGACATGGACATGCAGTGACAGGGACAGCCATCTGTCATCACCACTGCAGGTCTGTCATCCATGTTCTTATCCAGCCTGTCTTGTTAACGCTGACAGGAAAGTCCATTTACTCAAGTACAGTAAATATATGTCTTTCTGTATAACATTAAATATTCATCACTAAACCAAAAAGTAGTTTTGCATACAGATTTAACATGTAGAACACATGAAGAGCTTTTAAAATATGACGCATTGTGAAAAATCAAATTACCGAACCGTTTACATTTAGAGTTGAAACAGTTTGATAATCATCACAAAATAACCTGGAACTCTTTACTGATTATTACTTTGAGGGAATACTTCACTCTCCAAATGACCGCTTGTATACTGAATTTGTCAAGGACAGTGTTTTTCTCACATGCCTCCTCAGTGAAGTAAGAATCCAAAAACTAAGAAAAGTCCTGATGAATTATGGTCACCTTATCAAATGTTAAGATTTTCTGAATAATTTGAGGGGTTTTGATGGTGTCACTTTGGGTAATTGTAATGAGCATTTCCCACTATTTCCTGAGTTTATACAAGCTGGAAAATTAATGGACTGAGCAAGAAGCGGACTAATCCACAATGAAAATATTCATTAGTTACAGTCCTCTGAGGAACAGTTTCAAATTAGCATCAGCTGATAAATAAATGATGTTATTTTTAAGTTGTGTTGTTGGAAAACAAAAATCCAAAGTCTTCAAAATGTCTCATGCATATTGACATAGAATAACATTTAGTCAAAGGGTATGCAGAACAAAACCCAATGGTTACAAAACGTCATAATGTTAACACCCACACAATGTGAAACTGGATCTGAATCCTACTAAATGTTGACAAGGGAGGGGCATTTAGGAAGAGAAAACACACTGTCCATGAGAGCTGTGTTGAGCTTCAGAGAGGGATGAAATTACTCTGTGTTTCAATGTGTGTTCGACATCATGTTAGCCTGGATTTCCCCAAGTCAAAGACCCACGATAAACCCTACTCCAGTTCTCCTTGATTACTGCTGCTGCTACATCTCGTGGAGCCAAAATTGTCTCATCAGCTGGCTCCATCCCTCCCTGCCCTCCTCCTCCTCCTTCTTTCGTGTTCCCTTGACATATTAATGTCCTTCCCCTCTCGAGATTGAGGGCAGTACACGTGAGCAGTGGGGATCTTCTGAAACCAAAGCCATGACGGGTGACTTGCTGGCCAGGGGCCTCATCTGGCCACTGTGACGTTTAAATTCACTGGGCACGTTAAGGAAGTGGAGCAGTGATGGGAAGGGAAACAGGACAAACTGTTTGATCTCTAGTCTGTGAATCTTAAACCAAACAACCACTAACAAATACAAAAATGACTGTACTTTCAGAATAAGATAAGAGCTAAAAATCTCTAATGTGCAAATATTCCTTTTATAACATTACCTTTGATTAAAGATGTAATCATACTATAAATTCTATTCTAATGGCTCTGAACATTTTGTGTTTGAATCTGGTCCAGGACCTTTTTGCAAGTCACCAACCCTTCCCTACTTGTCTCTACTGTGATTTTCTCAAAAAGATCTCTATAAATTAGGACTAAAAGAGGAGGGATGATTTAAAACAAGTGACAAATACACACGTTCATGCTGTTATTGTTAAGAGCAGCACCTTATCTGTTATGTGAACTCTGACAACAATATGACAATTTACATTTTAATTAGGTAAATATCTATCTATATCTATCTATGACTTAAAGGGTAACTTCCGTGTTTCAACCTGGCCCCTATTTTACACATGTTTTGTGTCTAAGTGATTCATGGGAACAATTAAAACATGGAAAAATAGGGTGCTGGTAGAAGGAAAATGAAGTTATCCTTTAACGTGTGATACCTGTCGGAAAATAATACAACCTAGGGAATCTAGGCATCACCAGCCATCAAATAAAGGTAAAACAGACAACTAAGTATCAAATACTGAATTTTAAAATGATAATATGATCTGTGAAGTCAACACAGATGAGAGCATCTCCTCTCCCTGCCTCCACTATGTCACATGTGTTGTTCATGCCTATGGTTGTGTCTGTGCACCTGGCTGTGCAGGTTAGTAAATGTACTTTATGTATGTGAGTGAGGAGTCCTCATGTGTTATCATGTGAGTGGATTGTACAGCACATATGTAGCTGTCAATTCACATGTGTTATGTGGATAACGTCCTGCACTTGTTGGAATGTATGGCCAACATTCAGTAACTACAATTTCCATTTCTATACGTAACAATCTCTTAGTGTACGGTGCATGTAGATCTTCTGTCCTGTAAATTTAACACTAAATTTGTGTTGGATATTTGCAACCTCTGGGAATATATCATAAGATCACAGTTCAGATACAAATCAATGGTTTTCACACCATTAACAACACCACTGGAATGCCTCTATGAATTCACCCACTGCTGCCGGTGTCATAAACTGACCTCTCTTAATAGGATTATTTGGCTTACACTTCTGAACTCTGCACTACACCCTGTCAATTTTTCACCACAGACCGGCCGTGGGGGGCCGGAGCAGATGACTGCGACAAAGTAAACGTGTGAGCGACTCACGTGACGTCTCCCGCATAGTGGCGAATACGGAAGTGTTTCTTGAAGTCCATGGTTTTGTCCGTGGGGGTGAGCTGGAAATGAGGAGGAGAAGCTGTGAGTGCAGAGCCAACTGTATGAAATATTAAATACAATATATTACAAACATTTACAGTGTGCAGATGTCGGGTTTAAGAGGAGGCCCCTGTTGTTTGAAGAGCAAATGATGATGAGTCTGAAGGCAAAACAATGGAGAAACTGTGCTCTCTACTGAATGCAGCACAAAACTGCACCTGTGTTTAAGGACTTCTTAAAATCAGTGTAGAGTGACTCTTTGTTCATGCTTCCTAATTTTAAGACAGCAAAACATTTGAGAACAAATGAAAATATTATATATTTTTAACATCCTCATAGATTTTTGTTCTCTCTGTCCTGATCACATTACCCCTAAAAAATGACTTTACATTTTAGCTGTTAGAGAAGCTGTATGCAACATTCTTAACATTAATATAGCAGCACACAAATATTTTAGATATACAGGAGTAATGGTGTTCTGATGAAGTCATACTCCCTCTGTGTGTGATATACTCTGAGCTTCTCCGTTCTTTGTTGTGGTAGACGGCCCGGCCAAGTCTGCATGTTAGTGCTAGTGAGTTCCTGTGTGTCCCAGTGGCTAGCTAATCATCACTACTCTGTACTGCACATATGGCGGTTACTGCTGATAATACTGCTCCTACAAAGTGAAGCCAAAACATCTTGATCGCCCCCTGGTGGCTGGCTGCAGTACAGGCCATAAACCCCATCCCCTCCTTCAAGCAGAAGAGACATGGGCCAAACTAAAAACTCAAAGTACACATCAAATAACATTTTCCGAAAGATGATTTCTGTCATTTTAGGTAGTTGTTATCATGCTGATGTGTGTCTATGTGTTTGTTTTTCTGTTACTAGTTAAGAAGTTATTTGATGTTAAAAAGGGGGACTGATTTATTCTACCTGCCCACAATTACAAGCGCAAAACATCTCATCCTTTAGATTCCAAACAATAAACTCTTTCACTTTTGCATTTCTACCCTACAAGAGAAAATATAAATGCTGCAACTTTAGCTGGACAATATGATTTCCTCATTTGTGTTTTTTTAGAAACTGAGAAGGATATGTCAAAACATACCATCACTTCCTACCTACCAAGTGAAGTTATAACCACATTTTCAAAGATCTCCTTTTACAGATCATTGCAGTTTCATGTTGAGTAGCAGATCCCTGCCTAATAATGTGGATAGGTCCTCTGATTATCTGTATGAGAAGGAGAGATTAAGGCTGACAGATGATGGTTCTGATCTGTTCTCACCTTGCGGGAGGTGTAGTGGGGGTGCTGGGCCAGTTTGGTGTCCATGCTCTCCAGGCAGACCGTGTCAGTGACTTTGCCTACAGTGAGGCAAGCTTCGTCCAAAATGGAGATGATGCCTTTGTGAGGCTGCTCCACAAGGTCCACAATGATCTGGTTGTTGAAGTAATCAATCTGTGTAAAAGCAATATGATTCAGTTCAGTGTGAAAAAATGCTGTGATTTTTATCAATCATGTGAATGCATGTACGGCATGTGTGGTTTTGTTCAAGTGCATGCTTCTGCATTTACAAACTTGTGTGTGTGTGTCACATCTGCACCAAATGTTTCTGCCACTTTCATAAGCAAGTTTTTCATACTGGCAAACCCATTTTAAGATAAAACTACAATTACTGCCTTGTGGTTGTATGCCTCCGTCAACCAGTCAAGTTACAGTTTACATCCATGTCTGTCCAGACTCATATGTTTCCATGACAATAGACAACGCTTTAAATAAGGACGTTACTGCAAAGGAGCTACCAATTCTAAAGCATGGATGCTTCACACACATCTTCGACGTGACAGCACAGAAGATCCATATAATCATCACAGTTTCAAGGTGGACACAAAAGATTAGTGTCACTAATTCAGTATCTGATCAAATGTCTCCCCTTCTGTTCCTGAGATATGACGTTGAGTAATGGCCATGAAAAGTGTTTTTGCAGAACATTATGATGTCCCGGTGACATTAACCTTTGACTTTTTGGATATACAATGACATCACTTCATCATTTGATTTTACGTTATCAGACATTTGTGTTAAATTTTGTCATAATTTGAGCATGAATTTCTAAGTCATGGCCAAAAAATGTGTTTTGTGGGGTCACAGTGACAATGACCTTTGATCTATGACCACTAAAATCTAATCAGTCTATTCCTGAGTCCAAATAGGTGTTCCCTCGAAGTGTTCCTGAGATACATACTAAATTGGGATTGGCCATAGCTGTCGTCCACGCCGAGGCATTTTAAAATGTTATTTATCTCTATGGAAAGTGTTGTGTAGCAGTTTTTGTACAAAGTGGGACAGAGTGCAACTAAGACAAAATATAAACAGGAAAAATTATCAGTAAGGTGCGATAACCACATGTACACAATGCAAAACAATAATCCCTAAGTGTGTGAGGCCGCTCAAAACACTTGAATAATGTTAGAGAAAATGTACATTAATATTCACTACCCTGACCTCAAACTGATGTATAACTACAATGTACAAACATCAGGCTATGTCCTGCACAGCGACTGAACGTCAACTGCAAATGCAGAACAGCAGAGCATAAAATGCTCTTCAAACATGGCACCTCATGCTTGTGTGGTTGTTTGTGTGTGTTTCTCACATGTTGCCAGGTGATGCCCTCTCTCTGGTATTCATCTTGCTCCTGTCTGAGGATCAGCTCGATGAACAGCTGCTGCAGCTTCTCGTTGCAGTAATTGATGCAGAACTGTTCGAAGCTGGCCGACAATAGAGGAACAAACACTTGGGCAACAGTATCAACAATGATCAATTCTTTTCCACTTAAATGAGGAGATATATTTCACAACAGAATGACACCAACCTGTTGTTGTCAAAGATCTCAAAGCCGTAGATGTCCAGCACACCGATGACTGTGTTCTTCCCATGAAGCAATGGGTTGTAGTCTTTAACTTCGATGACGCTGTTGATGCGGTTTACAATCCAGCCAAAAAGTCTCTCATATAGAGCCTACAGCAGAGAGAGTGTTTGTTTTTAACAGAGCCGGAGATTAAAACAATGTGAAAACTGTGAAAATTAGATTAAAGCAGAGCACGTCACAGTGGTAATGTTAACATAATTTTCTTATCCTAGGGAAGCCGTGAAACCATTAATCTGTAAACGGCATAAACCACATCCTGATAAGCTACTTTGTCAAAAGACATTGGGCTGTGTGATTTGTAAATGAACACAGGAAGCAAGTAAACAGCACCTTGGCAAAAGCGTCCCGTCCGAAGCAAGCGTCCTGCTCCGTGTGTCCCTTCTCGATGACCTCGCCTCCCCCGGTGGCCACGGTGCGGTACAGCAGGCTCTTACTGACACTGTCCGCATCTGTGTCCGTCAGCTCAGAGATGTGGTTAACGGCTTCAAGTCCTACGATCTGAACGCTCTCACCATCACTCTCAAATTGCATGTTACCCTGAAAACAGACCAGAGGCATGATCTCATCAGTGTTGGTGATCTCATGAATCACAGATTACTCTACATGTAAAAACAATCAGTTCAATCCCAGAATATCTGCATTAACTTTTTCTATTTTTAACAATCCATTTAACTCACCAACAGAAGAATGGAGGCCAGGATCTGATAAATTGAATTAATTTCCTCTTTAGAGAAGCCAATCACGTCCAGGGCACTCATCACTGCTTTGTGGCTTGAGCGGTCGTTGTTGGAGGTCTTAAGAAAAAAAGGATTTCGGATTATTATCATCAGCTCAGAGGGAACAATCTGGATTTTTGCAATTCATGCCTCCGAAAGTACAATGATTTATATCAAATTTTCTATTTTGCAGTTTGTTTAATTTCATATCGACAGCTGTTTTTGTAAAATAGCTCATGTTGTCTGTAATAAAACTGAAAAGTGACAAACTCACGGTAGTTGCAGCTCCCTCTTTGGTATAGGTATAAAGAGCAGGATCGTTCTGTAGATGACATGACTCCAGCATCTCATCTGAGCCTCCACGCAGTAACTGTGTCAAATATACATCAAACATCAAGTTCAGACCAAGAGAGTTACTTGAAAGTGGGCAGAGCTGGGCAGTAAATGATTTCAGGGAGTAATATGGTGCATATATTTACTAGCAGCATGGATTAGAATTTACCTGGTAAAATGAGTGGAAGTTCCTCTCCCCGTCTTGCTGATGGACCACCCTGGACTTAAACAGGAAAACAGATTATGGTAGAGAACCAAACATTCATCCTCAGACACTTACACAATTATTCTGTGATGACCAATTTATTCCAGGAGGTCTTTTTTAAAATCAAGTGCTGCTTGTTGTATCACTTCCTGCATTGTCCTTACTTTAGTTTTTCTCTAAATTACTCTTTAAAAACCCCAAGAGGAAGGGTGTTACCTTTACTCAACTTAAGGTAGAGCAAATTCTTATAAAGCAGATCGTTAAAGTTCTTGCTTTGATTCAAATATGTTGTAATACTCTACAAACACACAGCTGTGACCACATTACAATTTCAGTATCACTGTGCCAATTGTCATATGGGGCGCAAAGCTAAAGAGGGCAACTGCCAACTGAAGCCCAATTCTTTATCACCAGCCAGAGTGAGGACAGTAACAAGTTGTGCATTCAGTGAATGCACAAGAAAACCACATAGATGCCATGAAAGAAACAAACATGAGGATTTATGTTTGAACAGCACGGAGAGGAAACCCACTGTGTCCTGTCGCTTTGTTAGAGAAATACCTGTTGCTGCCGCCCAATCCACCGGCCTTTTATCTCCATCCAAACTGTTAATGCTAAAACTTTATCTAGCCTGCACATGTTTATTTGTAGCCTATTATACTCACTTTTCTCTTGCCACTGTGTCAGTTGCTTGTGATTTTATTTTTGTTTCAGCATAACATTAGCTTGGTTACTCACCAACAACACGTGTTTTACAGAGTGCTGCAGGAATTAGTCCTAAAACCCAGAGAATAAGTTAGTATTTTAGCACTTCTAGTTCCCTCAAGTCACTGGGTTTTTTTAATGGGTTTTTGGTGAGAATACCCAGGATTAAGTCTGTGGTTAACACAAGCTTAAGAAACTTTCACGTTTTGTTCTACAACAAAAAATATTTCAGTATATACCCAACCTATGAATTTTGAGGCTTTTACGTGTCTTACAAAGGCTGATTGCTAACAAGTAGCTAAATGATGCCAAACACGGCTTTACAGCCTCATTGTGCTGGTGGGGTGGTTCATTTATAGCATGACGTTAGTTTTTTACCCCTGGTGATTGCATTTATGCTTCAAAATTCTACTACTTTGTGAAGATTATCTTGCTGAACAAAATGCAAGTTCGTAGAAATCAGATGTGTAAGTTTTTGAGGGAACAAAAGACAAATAAGAAAGCTACAAAGGGAGTAAAGCAAGTTTTGTACTGCAAAAGAAAAAGTGAAAGTAACACGCACATTAATGTGTCACAGATAGATTTTTCCCTGGATGGCTGCTGAACTTTGGTGACAAATTGTACATCTAAAAAAAGGTCGTTGCTCTTTGATCCTAAGAGATTGATGCCAAACCCTTACAAATAGTGTTGATGTTGTTGACGGCTGAAAATGTATCTGATCTCTCTCTGTACTGTGGCTGCACTCAAAATGTCTAAAAGTAACACAATGCAGTAAAGGATGGATCACACATATATCTGAAGACATGAGAGAAATCCATGACTAAGCAACAAAATCACCGCCATGTGTTTTTCCAACAGTGTTTTAAGACAAACACTGACTAGTTGTGACATCACAGCAGCACCACTTTACTGCTGATGCAGAAGCAAGACAGCATAGAAACAGTGTGGTTATTCCCACCTTCTGAAAATGAATCATGGCACCATCATTCACACTAGCTCTGAGTGCCAGACAGATCTTTAACAGGGCGGATAAATACAGCAGCATCAAGTACCCCCAGGTGAGCCATTCATTAACGGGCGGCAGCGGCAGCACATTGGCTTCACAGATACATCTATTCATGGATGTTCCCTGACACCTTTTTGTCATCACCTCATGAAACATTCATGTTCAAGAGAGAAGACGTAATCTAAAAACTAAATGAGCAGAACTTTTCTTTCAGAGGTTGGCACATCATGTCCCAAAAGAGTGTATAACTAGTTCATTATTGTGTTTCATGGAGCCGTGAAGGTCTCCTGTCTGCACTCAAAGCCTCTCCATCATCCTGCCCACCATGCCCTCACCTTCTCCAGCAGGTAGTTGTTGATGTGTCCTCCAGTGGGGTCCCCGTTGAAGTTGAAGTTGATGTCCATGTACTTGCCGAAGCGGCTGGAATTGTCGTTGCGATTTGTCTTGGCGTTCCCAAAGGCCTCAAGCACACAGTTGGATTTGAGCAGCACATTCTTCACGCTGATTTATCACATTGTGGAAACCATTGATGGAGACGTGAGAAACGGCCACCAGGGAGGTGAAAATAGAGGAGTAGGAAAAAAGACAGTGAGATGATTTATGTTACATCATGTTCTCATGATCCAATTATTTACTTGTATTGGATTTGAGGAAAAGAACCAATCTGGAGCATTTCAGTTTACAGCACTGCCTTAATAAGTCCTCTTGCCATGAATAAAGGTGCTATAATGTCACCGAAAGCACCACTCACCTCTCGACCTCTGCCCGCTGGCTTGGGTTTGTGATTGCTGCAATGTACTGCATAATGTATTTACTAGCTTCTGTTTTTCCGGCCCCACTTTCACCTGAAACCCAAAACACACAGATTACACAACACAAATAAATTAGTATTACAGCTGCATTATATGGAAATATTCACAAACTTTATTTAGACCATCATGGAAACCAAAAATAAAAACTAAAACCAAATTTTTAGTTAGCAAATGTTTACAGTGAGTATTAGGCTAATGATAAGGAGTTATTATCCAGAGAGACATAAAAATATGTATATAAAAATGAGCCAGCAATTAGGTGAATAAACATCATGTAAATATAAAGAAAACACATTTGACTCTTAGCTGTGATGTGCAATACGTAGCTAACATTAGCTAGCACAAGTTCAATAACACTGCTGGCCCAATAATCCAAGTTATAACCCCAGTAAAGTGTCAGAAAACGCATACAATATAAACAACAATTTTCTAAACATTCAGAGATTAACATGAACATTCAGACAGATACCTGTATGATAGGAGAGCACCTGGAGGGTATCACGCTAATATCTCCATCACAGGTTAATAAACTGAAATGGCTAACCATACTGTGGATACAAAAACGCACCTACTCTGTAGCGGTGTTGTTCTGAGTGCTACACGTCAGTCAAGAGTAAAATATGTCGACAACTAACTTAGCTATCTTATTTTGTAAAGTTATAAACACTCACGCTTCCCTGAAGATGACTTCCTGATGCCATTTATCCTCAGCTAACACTAGCTTTGAGATTAGCCTGATGCTAACATATCATTGCTAATGTTGCTAAATCATGCTAAATGTTAGCATGTGTAGCCATTAACAAATTACAGGCCTTAAAAGAAGACAGCTGAAACTAATGGACACCCAGAGATGAAACAATTGATTGATTGATTGATTGATTGATTGATTGATTGTAGTAAAATTTAGTAGTTTTTTAGTTGTAAATTTACAGTAAAATGATTGTCAATAATTTTGATAAGCCTATTGTTTAGCACTTTTCTAAACAAAGTTACAAAGTAATAAAATAGTAAAGCAGTATTAATAAAACGTTTTTATTTTATTTAAAAAAAATATTTTTACTTGTTTGTGAGAACTGAATCAAAAGATATCGCATTCTGCAAGCGTCATATTCTTAGTTGTGGGGCTGTAGGAGTTCAAATAAGTTTTTAAGTGAAAATTTCTGAACTTTCAGCCTCTCAAATGTGAATATTAAATGTATTCATTTATCAATTTTTGTCTTCTGTAGCCTGGATATCTTTGAGTTTGAGAAAACAATACATTGTAAAGATGTCCGCTTGGTCTCAAGGTATTTTTCGCTGTTATTTCACAGACCAAACCATTAATTTGACAAGTCAAGAAAATGGATTCATTGATAGTTAAAGTTGACCTGGGCTGATGGTTGCTGAGCCAAGTCTGACAATGTAAAACAGAGTCCAGCAAGCTGAGATTCACAGCCAAAGTACAGAAAATGAACTCATGATTTAACAACATAGCTTCTCATCTGGTGCCACACACAGGCCAAACCTCAGCGTTAAACAGATGTAAGGACCTAACAATAGTGATGATGTTGCTTGTGGCAGCATGGATTTTTAAAACTATTAGTGTAGCTAAATATTTAGTTTAATGAAACTATCAATTTGTTGTGCTGGCAATGAATGCATCAGATATAAACATAATGCTGCATTGAATCATTCCACAAACAAGAATTAAGAATGTATTGTCTGTGATCAGGTTTGAAGTTAAAGTGCGGGAAGTCTATATTTAAAACTGTGCAACAGCCTCACACACAGCACAGAGTTCATCTTAGCAGGACTGCGTCTCATTGGGTGAAGAGTGCAAAAGACACAGACCTGATATGACGATGCAGGTATCTTTGGCCCGTCTTTTCATAGCCTTATAGGCAGCATCAGACACTGCATACAGGTGAGGAGGGTTCTCATACAGCTCGCGACCCCGGTACGCATCAATGGTGTCTTTGCCATAAATGTCCATCTGTCTGTACGGGTTAACGGAGACGACTACTTCTCCGATGTAGGTGTAGATACGGCCCTTCTCAAACCTGTCCAAACAACAGAAGATACAAACATATACAAACACAAGTATTTTTATTTACTTAAACACTCATTTAAGAGGGCAAAGTGACGTTTAGAACCATTTCCCACACGACGTTTCACACCACCCATGAAAAAACCCTCGAGATATGAGTTCCGTGCAACAATATGGTGATATGTAATTTCCTGACAGGAAGTGACACAAGTGTGTGTACACTGAGAGCAGGAAATGAAACCTGTGGTTCAAAGGGCGTCACAGCTTTGTATAACCTCTTGTGGGTTTGTTGAGCTGGGAGAGGTAAGATTGACTCATTGTGTCATGAGGGTTGATGGAGGAAAAATGAAATTTCTTTGTATACTATAAAAGGTGGTCTGGGACTGGACACATAAGCTATGTCACAGTTAAGGGGCTGATCCTTCGAGGTCCATATTTGTAGTTCCAATACATCCTAACAGGACAAGGTTGGTGCAAAGCTGAAACATGGCCTTGTTCCTGAATTTGAGAGACACAACTTGTGTACTGGTCAGCTCTTACTAGATCGTTCATGTGGTTCTTGTTACCCAGTAAAGTTGGGAAATATCATATGACCACAGACTTTTTAACAGGTCATCAGTCATAACAACATGTCAATAAGTCTTAAAATATGATGCATGGTGTTGCTCAGACTCAACAGTATGTAAAGTAGTTGGCTTTTACCTGTTAACTTGGAATTAACAGTCAGTAAGAGGCCATTTTTAATTTACTTTTTACTTAAAGGGGGACTACGCCCATTTTCAAAATTCATACATGTCTTTCCTATGGTCTAAGACAGTCCAAAAATGAAAGTAAAAATGAACAACTCTCTCCCAAAAGCTTGGAAGTGATAAAACTAAAAGTTGTAACATCATCATAAAGTCTGGAGCTGCTCCACAGACAATGAAAAGTGACAGATGTTTTAGATGACACTGAGAGCACCCAGGGGAATGTTCTGGGTATATGGGTACATTTTCTGTTTCACAACTGAGAACACTACAATAAAATGAAGCTAATTTAGGAATAAGAAACAAAACAAACATTCTGTGGGTTCACAAAATCAGGCCTCCATTCATTGTCTACAGAGCAGCTTCAGACTTTATAACCTATGACATCACAAATTTGAGACTTCCTCCTCTGGTTTCTGGGTTTGAGAGAGAGTAGCTCATGATCCCAAATACTGATGAACTTTCCTCAGCCATGGAAATAACATATTGGAAGGTGGTGTTCCCCTCTAAGTAAAAGAATATTGACTTTGTGGAAATGTGACACTGTGAAGTCATTCTGATTTGACCACTGGTATTAACATGTAGTTGGCCATTTACATTAAGGCCACTTCCCTTATTGATAAACTTAGAATGTCTTCATTATTCAACTTGAATAGGAACATCTGAAAGCACCGTTAGTTTTGGTTTGTGGGAAACTAGACTTTGTCATTTAGAAAGCAAAAGCTGTTTCAGCCTCAAGTTTAAATTGAGAGTTGAAGGACCCTGCCTCTGAAGTGAGACACAACTAGAGATGATTATGGCTGCATCTGAGGTCATGTTTACACGAAAACGATCCACTGAAAACAGAATCGTTTCTCATTTTTGTTTTGAAAAAAGTTCTGCATTTAGACAACAACGTCTTGATAACAATCGCAGTGCACACGGATCCACAAAAATGACCAAAAACGCTGCAGTATACATGCCAGGCCAGTAGTTGGCGGTGTGACGCTTACGCTTCCTTCTACAGAGCGGCGATGTATAAACAAAGAAAATGACGACCGCACGAACGTTTGTCTGGACGGACGACGAGGTGGCGTTGCTATAGTAAATCTACACTATGATGGGGAAGCGTTGATGAATTCAATAGAGTGAGTAGCACAAGCAGAGCTCAGGAGTCCGCCATTGTTGTGATGGTCGACTTTCTCGCGTATGCCTAGTGACTGGAAGCGTAATGCGCATGTGCGAAAAGTCTCTGTTTTCAGAGGAACTGCATATTGCAAGTTTAAATGACAACGGAGATGGTGCCATTTCCAAAAAATTGCACTCTGGAACCCGGTTTCAAAACGTTGCGTTTTCAGGCACCCAAAACACAGCTGTCATGTAAACGATCGGCCAAAACTTAACTAAAGTTTACCGTTTTCAGTTGAAATTGTTGTCGTATAAACGGGACCTGAGTCACTGAGAAGGTTGTGGATATGTTTTTTGTTATTGTGACCAGCAGCTCTTCAGGTTGTTCTGTTGGTCATAAAAAAATTCTACACCTCTTTAGCTGCCACAGTTTTTGCCCTCAAAGGCTGATATTTGGCATGAAGTCCAAGTGTTTGGGTGTGTGTGTGAAGGTGTCTGGGTTCATGCCAGCTGGCTAAAAGGGGGGGGGGGGGGGGGGGGGGGGGGGGGGGGGGGGGGGGGGGTGCGCAGTGAGAGTGGCCTTTAACAAAAATGTGCATAATCTACTAATGGATTTACAGGGGTGCTGGTGGTTCATGTAACGCACACACAAATAGACAAAGAGACAGACATACAAACACACACCATTTTGCCAAATCCACCTTCACAACTCATGAACCGGTTGTCATCACTAGACTAGTGGCAAGTGTTTGTGAGGCTGTGTGCGAGTGAATGCATCAACATGTGGATGCATGTATTTGCGTGGTCACAGCTATTGTGATTTCACACTTGTTTCACAAATATTGCTTGAGAACAGCAAATTATAGGTTTCCTCTGTGTAACAGTTGGGTTTGGTGCCAAAAAAAAAATAGAGAAGTCACCCCTGTCTCCTTCCTGGTAATATACTGACCAATCAGGTAACAGGTGACTGAGTCCATGTGAGACTACATCTTATGTGAGCTAGAGGGAACAGCTTGTTGTTGCTTTAAAGGTATCAGTTTAACACTTAAAGTGGTGTCTTGGTAATGAAAACAGTTTCACAAGTCTTGATCTCTGGTAGTTTTAGAGTTAAGGCAACAAGTGTGCGAGACTCAATAAAAGGATCACCACCAACATGGATAGATTCCTGAACAGCCCCACCAGGCACAGGCACATGCACAGGCACAGTTAACACACACTGACCAGAAAGAGATACAAAAATACCACAAAGAGATGCAAATGAACTGCAAAGAGACAAAGTAAATACAAGAGGGACAAAACAACCACAAAGAGACACAAAACGACCAAAAAAGACATAAAATTACCTCAAAGACGCAGAAAAAAAACTACAAAAAGGGGCAATACAACCAAAAAGAGACAAAGTGATTGCAACGAGACACAAAACAATCTAAAACTACCTAAAAAAAAACTAACAAAGGAGATACAAAAGGACAATGAAAAGACCCAGATTGTCTACAACAAAAAAAAGTGGCAAAAGTGTGTGTTTCCAGTTCTGTGTAGGAGAGGTTGTGGCGCCTTTAACATGTCTGTGCCCGGGGACCTATTGTCTCATAAACTGCCCATGACTACCAAGGTGTCTTTGTCCATCAACCCTCATGAAAATCTGTCCAGTTTTCAAGATATCTTGCTGACGGAGAACCCAACATAGGATAAAAAATAGCAGTGTTGATTAGCAACGTTATCCGAACAAGTGAAGACAAACAGTGCAAATACAAAAATAGAAATGCAAACACCTGATCTCACAGGTAGAAATAAAAAACACAGAGCAGATCATTAAAGTAGTCACATACCAGCAAAAACTTGAGTGCCTGTTTCTGCTCTGCCACCAGACAAGTCTGATCAAGCTGTGTGATGAAACTCTACATACATTATTCACACACCAAAATAGGCAGACAGACGCCAAGAAGTGTAACTATGTGAAAAATGTTAATTTAGATCCACCTGCTGCGCACACGTCAACAGAAAGTGTGAATTCTAGAGAAATGTAGAGCTTATTTAATATAACTTGACATTTTGGTGTCTGGCTGTGCTGCCAGGGAAAACTGTGTGATTTTTCACATTTTGAACTGAGAACATGAAGCCCCTGCGAAAGACACCAAGGAAGTGAGAATGGACACTGTCTGGACTCAGAGACAATTTCAAAATCCCCAAAGCTTTACACCAGGGATGAGCAGAAAGGTCACAGAAGAAAATAAAAGTTACATTAACTTGAACAGGTTTGGTGAGACCAGCTGTGTTTTCTGGTAATGTTCCATGTGCTTCATTGGCTTCACATGACAGGCGGTGTGATGTCGTGCCGTGATGATCACATTAACCACAGGTTTATATCTGAACCCCGAGGGTGAGCGGGAAAGGTAGAAGTGACTCATGCTTGTCTCTTTTTTGTCTTTATGTCCTCTGTTACTTGAGAGATGTTGTCAAGATAATGTCAACTTGATAATGTAGGGGTACTATGACAAAGTCTTTTTTGTTTTTGTAGGCTTGTGTCAGAGACAGTTGAGTATAACAATGTATATCTTTATCTTACTTATCCAACACTAATTTTAACATAGATATTAAAGAACATGCAGTTTTCCTTCATGTAAGAGGGATGTATGAATCGTTACCCGCTGCATCTCTGACACCCAGCTGCCTCCCCTCCCTTCCTCCTCTCTAACAGTATCTCAGGCCTCTTACCTCAACTTCAGATTCTCCATAAACTGCTCCATCGTCACCTCATCCAGCAGAACAAAGTCTGACTTCCCAAACTCCAGGCCCTCCAGCTCCGCCATCCCTGTCTGTGTTCACCAAACACACTAAAAATAAAAGGACGGACAAGACGCAGAGGAACAGAAAGCAGCTCAAGGAAGAAGAAAGAGAAGTATGGTCGACTTCTGGGGCCCGGTAGTGCAGACAGTGTGTGTGTGCTGTGGGCGTGGCGAGCTCTCTGGTGGTGGATTCTAGGGTGTGCTTAGTCGAGTCACAGAGGGCTGTGGTCTACAAGCTACAGCACGTCATCCTGTCAGTCAGCCTGAAACCTCATGCAGATCTGTATAAATAGCAGGAGGCTATCTTTAAGAGCTCATACCACTTCTGCATCCTCCTCCATCGCTCTCTTCCTGTCACAAGGCCTTCAAATATCTAAACAGACCGTGACTCTCACTGTAAGGCTTCACTATTTACTCTGCTTTTGTGTATCTTTTCTCCCCTGAAACAGGAACCCACATCTGACATACTGCCAGACAAGGGCAGTTAACCTTGCAAATTTGGGGGTAGAAAATGGCCTTTATCTCCTGGGAAGGATCGTGGCATTTCCTTTCTTAACTTTGCATTGGCAGAGCAATGTGTCCCTCAGGGGTTTCTCTAAACCAGAGGTTCCCAACTCCCAGCTGAGCCGAGCTGCAACGTGAGAAACTTGTGCTTTCGGACGCTGGAGCTAAAAGGTTTCGTCGTACAGTTTGTCATGTAGGACAAATGTAAGTGTGGGTGTATGTGATAAAGTTCAGAATGTGTGCTGACTAATGCAGTTGATTTCAAAACCACTTGACCTTTTTCTTGAAATCAAGAACCTTTTCACAAATTTTTCAAGGTAGTTTTTCCTCCACAGGAACACTGGTAAAAATTTGGGGTCTTGAGTTACAAGACAATTACTATGGAAGGACATAAGACAAAACTAAATGAAGCTATCCTGTGATTAAGGGTCGTGTATAGACATTACCTCATTTGTAAGGGGTCAAAAGGAGTCAGTTTTCTTCTGTGTAGTTGATTACAATTGCAGAGATATTTAAAATCAGCAAAATTTGTTAATTACTGTTGTCTTTTCAGCCATAACTTTTACAATTAAAGATGCACCGATCAGCCAAAACATTAAAACCACTGACAGGTGAAGTGAATAACACTGATCATTGCGTTACAATGCAATGTTCTGTTGGGAAATCTTGGGTCCTGACATTTGTGTGGATGCCACACCAGTGCAGACCATGCAACCTCCATTATGGCAATTGCACTCCCCAGTAGCTGTGGTCCCTCCAGCAAGACAATGCACCATGCCACACCACAGAAACTGCTCAGGAATGGTCCGAGGAATATGACAAAGAGCTCAAGGCATCAACCTGGCCTCCAAATTCCCCGAATCCCAGTCTGATCAAACATCTTTAGGACATGCTGGTACCCCACCTCACATTGTACAGGACTCAAAAGATCTGATGGTAATGCCCCAATGCCAGACACCAAAGGACACCCTCCAGAGGTCCAGTGTCCATGCCTTGACAGGTCAGAGCCAAGTCTGGTCTAAGGAGCACCCACCATGGATTGGAGGTACCCCTGGGGTACCAGCACGTCCCTCAAATGTTCGAACAGGTTGGGATCTGGGGTATTTGAGGTCTCACCACATTCCTCGGGTCATTCCTGAGCAGTTGTTGTGGTGTGGCATGGTGCATTCTCCTGCTGGGGGGTCAATGCCATTGACAAGTGCCGCTGCCATGAGGGGATTTACTTGGTCTCCAATGGTGTTCGCCTGGGTGGAGCACCTCAAGTAGCATCTACATGAATGCCAAGACCCAAGGTTTCCCAGCAGAACATTGCACTGTAACAAGACGATCAGTGTTATTCACTTCACCCACCATTGGTTTTAATGTTTTGGCTGATCTATGTATAACGAATAACGTGAAAGTCTCTTCAGCTTGTGTTAACCACAGACCTTATTTCAAGCATCTAACCAACAACCTATTCAAAAAATCCATCAACTTTGAGATGAGGGAACTGGGAGTGGTAAAATGCTAACTCATTTCCGGGTTGTAGGGCTAATTCTTGGGGCACTAGGGAAAATGGAGAAAGAAAAACCTGAACAATTAATAACAAAGATCAACTTTACCTATGTTTCCTGTGTTGCTGTGCATGCTACTGCAAGCCAAACCCCACTCAACATGTTCTGTTATTTCCTCGCTATTTGACTAATCTTCATTTAATTTGCCTTATCTTTCACAGTTGTGAAGGTAGTGGGATAGAAAACACAAACATGATGCAAAAGCCTTATTCATGCATCAATCATCAAATACATTCAGCCTCATGAATAAACTGTTTTGGTCATAGTTTTAGCATTTCCTCTGCCCCTGCATCTGTATTAGAGGTGTTCAGTTTATGAACAAATCTTTATCAGACAAATATTTGATCTGAGCTGAATGAAGATATTTGAATCAGCAGAGTGATTCATTAGGGTCCATCTCTAATCTGTATACCTCTCAGCATTGTGTGAAGGTCAAGATGCACTGATGTGATGAACTTGACCTTTTGTCCCTCACAGTCAGCTGCTGGCAGTTTGCCAATGCAACATGTTACAGCAGTGTGTGTTTATCTTTCCAAACACAGGCTGAATGACACAGCTCAGCTCATGAGTCAGATGTTTTTTTTTCCATGACGAGCGAAGTCCACGGCTGTATTGTCTGTTTCATGAATAGAGTCTGTGATAAGGATGAGCAGCCACTTTGTATGGAAACCCTTAAAAATGTTTAAGTTGTGTGTTTACACAGCCTACATGCATTTTTTAAATTAAATCCTTACTAACGCTGGATGATACTCTTACTTGTTGAGGTCAGTCCTTTCTCTTTAAATGTAAAGGCTTGGTTCACCCAAATTACAAAAAGATAAACTTTTTTTTTATTTACACACAGTGGAATATAGCCATGAATGCTGTATTTGTCCAGGTTTTGAAATATCTTGAAAGTGAATGGAATTTTTATTTGTGGCGCTCAAAAACACATTAGACAGTCAAAGAAATTATTTGGTACATTTTGTCAGGTTTGTGTATTTCAGTTACATAAAAATTCCATTCAATTGAGTCAAGTAACTCTAACATAAAACCAAAAAATATGAGTTATAAAATCTAATAAAACTGAGATGAACAGACTATGAGAATCTATGTGACTACAGCGCCACAAATGTGCCTAATTTACTTTAATAGTTTATGTAATTGCTGTTAATGAAAATCTGTGTATTTCAAATACTGTACATTGAATTAACTTAAAGTTTGTGTAAATTCTGTTAAAAATTCTATGTATTTCAAATATTTGAAGTAGAAGTTAAGAAGTACATTCAACATATTTGAAATACACAGAGTTTTATTAACAGTAATTAACAATGATTACATAAATTTGGTACATTCTATGAGATATAGTTACATACTTTTTTTGTCTATTCCTCTACATTTTATTTGATTTATTTACATGAATAATACTATTTTGGTTTATGTTAGGATCACCTGCTTTAATTGGATGGAAATTTTATACCTAAGTGAAATATGTAAACTTGACAAGATGGACCGAAATAAAGACACTCATCAATTCGTTCATTCATTCATTCATTCAATTTCAGAGACAGACATCTCAAAACCTTAGCCAATAAAACTAAAACCTATCTGGCAAGTTTTGGGTAAATTAAGGATTGGATTACTGGACAAAAAAGTCCCACCTCAAAGTGCACTTTCCTTTATCCAAGGTTGAAACAGCACAGACACAGTTCACAGCTCAGGAAAAGCTGGTAATAGCCCTTAATTTGCCCGGTCAAGTTACTATTTGCAAGGTGAACGATGAATGTTGATGCTTAGTTTTTAAGTAAACACAGACAAGTAGTGCTAAGTGGGCTAATGAACAGATCCATCTCCATGGCACCTGAGCAAACTTGATGCAGTGATGAAGACTTTTGAGTTGAGGTTGTTTTATCCATCCACAATTCTTTTTAAGACTGAACTTTGATGCTTAATGTTTTTGTAATTTTGGTGGATGAAACCTTTAATCAGCCAGTTAACCTGCCAAATAGACAATTAGTTTAATAGTTTGTCTTTATGTTTCCTTGGTTTTAGCTAAGCAATATATACATATACATCTATACACACATATATAGTGTCCTTGGTTGTGGCTAAAAGATAATGTTGTAATAATGTATCGTGTTAGGTTTTTGAGATACCATGGCAACAGACAAACACGAACAGGGGAAACCCACTGCACTAAGCTCTGTGGTGGTGATTTCTCATCAGACTAATTTTTATTTTAGGTATTACTGTTTACAGAAAGGCATATGAGTCATACTTACAGCCAGCAGTGCAGCCCCCTTTAAATGGTCTCTTTAATGTACACTTGATACAAACATCAATTGGAAAAATGATATGAGTAGAAGGACTTTACCTTCAAAATGAAACATTTTGATTTGTCATAAATAAATAACACCTACCTACTGCAGAGCATTCATCTGCCTTCACAGCCTGTTCTTTTTTTGCCGCTTTCAATTTTTTCAATGCCGTAAATGCAATAGTATCCAGTCCAATATCCAGTTACCCTTCCTGTAAATACACATGCCTGTTAGATCCTCATCAGTCATACGCACTTCCTCTCTCAGCACAGGTTCAGTCGACTGTCGAAGACTGTTTCACTTCCTGCTCATGCTTCCTCTCACTATTTTCTGTCTCCATGTAGATGTTGTGTTCAGGTGTTACAGTAACAAACAACATTAACATTAATGACAACAGCCCCAGATGCACAGTGTGACTATGGTAAAGCACAAACATGTAATTATTCTCATTATCACATTTATTTAACACTCAAAGATCCTTCAGATTACCCATAATATTAATGTTAGCGTTTTCCCATTTACACAAATTATATTTTAAGCCATTCAGTTTATAATTTCCCGATCACCAGTCATTACAGTGCAAGCAACTAGCAATGGTGAAATACAACTTTGCAAGAGAAGTCAGTCACAGGCTTCAAATAACTGACTGTTCTCATGACAGAAGACGTTGAATAATGTATTATTCAAATACAATAAATATTTTGACATCAGGAGAATATAGTGTCAGAGTCTAAATCAGTATATTGCACTACATGACAACAACATTCATCAGTCTGACAGATCAATTTGCATTTTTCACTTCAACTATAATCATTAAGCAGAGCTGAATAAAAAAAGTCCAAACCAAACTACAAGGCACAATCGATATATCTGTATGGCTTATCAACTAATTGTAGCTTAGTACAAATACGGTATATTGTACAGCTGTAGAAACAGCTATCCTTGCTCTCTCCAGGAAACTGTCAAAGCACATGACCCCAAAAATGCCACAGCTTGAACAGACAAGATATAAAATGTTAATTAAAGCTGGGGTAGGCAGTTTTATTTTGGATTCATTGGGCCAAAATATTATAATAGACTTATAACATATTGTAATTCAAGTGGTCTGAGAGAACACTAGACTTCTGCACCTCCTCTTGGCTCTTTTTTCAGGCTTTAAAAAATTTAGGCAGTGACAGGAGATTTTTCAGGGAGGGCGCTCCTATTGGCTGCTCTTAAATGCAGATGCATGCAGGGAAAGCCTGATTCAATGGCGAAGAATCTTCAGAAAAAGTTGGTGTTCCAGCATTGGCAACAACTGCCTACACTGCAGAGCAATGCAAAAAAGGAGGACGGAGTTATCAAAAAGAGGATCTAAAAGAGAGTCTAATAGAGATGGAGAGAAAATGTTGCTAACATTAGCTAGAGCCTTAAATCGCTGTGTTCTCCACCTCACCTGGAGGAGAGCTGGCAGGAGCTCCAGAGATGGACCCCCAGTCAGAGGCCACAGCAACCTGAATCCAGCCAACACAAACCCCAGCTCCAGGGAACCAAACAGCACTGGATCAGCAAACTTTCTGTTGCTGCTGTTACACAGGTTAGACCTGATGATTCCACTGGCCACCAGCCTGCTGTAACACCTGCCGCTGGGGGGTTTGCACTGACTATAGCCACTCCCTCTACTCCTGAGGAAGCAGTCCACAGCGGTAGGGAGTAATGCGACAGGACAGTGGAGTGGCTACCTCTATCATGAAACTCTATCATGAAACAGGATCAAATAAATTAATATATAGGAAACACTGGGTTACTGTATGAAACGCGTATGTCTGTGGTTGTCTGGTGGGAGGGGCTTACAGAGAGGGAGGAGCAGGAGGAGGAGGGTGGATTTTCAAATTGTGCACATGTTTTTGCCTCCTCCAGATTTCTACCTACCCCAGCTTTAATGAGCTTAAAAGGTGCTGGTAGGCAGGGCTGGTTACCTTTGGACAGAGCAAGCTGTGTCCTCATTTCCAGTCTTTATGCTACAGTCAAATATTAGTATTGCTATTGGCCTCCAGAATCCAGTATCAATCACACTTTAGGATACAACGCCATGCACCTGCATACTCAAACCTATTACTCAGTATGGCATACAGCAGGTATTTATGCATGGTCAAAAAGTAGTGCTTAAGATGTAACCTGAGACAAGATGAGTAAAGTTTCAGTGCTGTTTTTCTACCTTCATGAACATTACTTCATTGCTCTTTTGTCATTTTTTCATACTTTTAAACTTTTTCTTTATATCTTTGAAATTTAGTAATTCCATGAAGAATTTCTTGGCTGATCTAGGAGGTGGAAGTCTGCTTTCCGTCTCTTGCTCGTTAACCCTTTCTGCCCGGGTTTTGTCGTGGGTCTCAGAGTGGCTTCTTCTCTTCCAACCTCCTCGAACAAAAGCCCGCTTGGGCTCAGCAGCTTTCTGTTTATCATCTTGGTAGTGTGGCGGAGAGTAACCAGCAGCTCCTGCAGGAGATGGATTAGCATTGGCACCACTATCTATTTCTGTGTACTTGCGACTGAGTGGTGGCAGAGAGCTGCTCCTCCTACTGGAGCTTCTGTACGATGTCCTTCCTGTACGTCCTGACTGGTCAGCCGTCCTCCCTAACAGCCTCTGCTGTAATTTGTAGCTCTCACCAGATGGTCCGATCAGGTGAAGTTGATCATTCTTCTGACATACCAGCACTAAATTGTACACATTTTTGTCTTTCCGAATTCTCTCCAAAAGAGCCTGGCCATCATGATCCACATGCTTCAGAGGAACTTCCTGTGTGCGCAGCGACTTGTTGAGATCATTCAGGAGGCTCTGAAGTTTACCCACAGCTTTCCTCGAGCCATTCCCCAGTAAAGTGATGTTGCAGCTGTCACCAACTTCACGCACATCCATTCTAACATCATGGCTGACCAGGATTGTTTCAATGTCTCTTTTCCTGAGCCGGTCTGCGTAGCTAAACACATCTGCATCAACGACAAAGGACTCCCTTCTAGACCTGATTGAGCCACGCACGGTTAGATGTTTGAAGGGCGCCCAAGATGAGGAGGTGGTGGGTGAAGATGGAGAGGCATGCGGAGGTTTGTCTCTGCCTCTGCCACCATTTGACATCAAGCTGTTACTGTTGTAGTGTTTGGAAATGGCTCCAGAGGAAACCGTTGGGACGGGCCTGATGTCCGTCTTAGTTTGCGATTGAAGAATTTGCTCCAAAGACGCCTTCACAGCCTTCAGTTTCAAAAACGACCCCTTGACACGCACCTGATCGCCGCTCAGATCTGTCAACTCAAAGCCATGTGACCTGAGGATTCTTCGCACCTCTGCCTCATCGGGGAAAGTACTTAAATTTACTGTTGCCTCCACTGGTAAATCCACCTGAGAACAGACAGACACACAAATGAATTCTGGGAGAGTAAAGGATGAATCTGACCTAACATAGTGTGTTATCTCAGTTACCTCAGTATGCTCAGGTGCTTTCACTGTCAAATGGTATTTTTGATTATTCATTTCCAACACATGGGGGCTCCTTTGCAATACTCGAGCAGCAACTGTGGAAAGAAATACAGAATTGGACTTGATTTTTGCCTGTGCAAAGACAAATAGAAAAAACTAAAATCTCTGTTTTTGCTGGTGCTAACCTTTTCACTTTAATGTGATATTACACATATATGAACTAAATTGCAGGTTGATCTCCTGTTTTTGTTTTTTTGAGTATGAGATATATAGTTTTACATTTGTCCTATACAACCCAATTTAAGTCTTGATTCTTAATTTTGTGTTTTTGTTTTCCTACTTCCTTGCATTTGTTTATTGTTAGTCCTCTCATTTTGATTTTACAATACTTGAACACATTACAGGCCTACACTTCTAGTATCTGTTGTTGATGATGTATTGGTTGTGTTTTGCATTTTTTGTGAACTGCCTGTTTTATTCCTTATTCCTTATTTTTATTCATTAAGAAATGCAAATGCATAAAACAAAGAGTGGGCGCTACGCTTCCTCAGTGCCACTGTCCTGATATCAGCCATAACATGCAAGTGAGTGTAGTGGTTTGCTGTTAATGCTCTGAACGTTGCATATAGAACCTTAAATTATGATCCATGTAAGCACATAATATTGTGAAATGGGCAATTCTGCAAAATGAATACTTTTATTTTTTGGTACTTTCAGTATAATTGGATGCTAACACTTTTGTACTTTTACATGAGTAAGATTCAGCATGCAGGACTTTTACTTGTATTTCGGGGCTACACTCTGGTATTGCTAATTCAACTTGAGTAAAAGATCTAAATACTTCTTCCACCGCTGGCTGAAGGGCACAAAAGACATACAGAAGCCTTTACACCTCTCTACAGATGGGATACTTTATAATTACAGATTAATGTGGTGAGACTACACTGCTAGAAGACAGCTACTGAAACTTAGACCTACGGTATGTTTATGACACCATTACTCACATTGCTGCAGCTCCTACTGATGGTCAGTAGGGGGCGATAAAGGCAACAGATTAGTTTATAAGCTGTCCACTTCTGATCCACTTTAAATACCTTCCCCTCCACCTGAAATTCATGCTCCCCACCATGACTTACTCTCTGGCTTCTTAAATATGATGAAAGCCTGCCCGGGCTGATAGCAGGGGTACACCACCCTCTCCACATCTCCTCCTCCATGTCTGGTTTTGAGGAAATACAGTTGCAGTTTAGCACATGTCTTCTCAGCCGGTGCAACATCTGGCACGCCCAAAACCTCAATCATACTTCCCTTTTTCTCCATCCTCACGTCGGTGTTGGAGATACTGTGACAGCAAACATAAACACTTGTTATAAATCATACTGTCCACTTTGTACTGGTTAGATTTATGTTAGGCATACATGATGATATTTTGAGGTTACCTGAAACTTCAATTCCAGGTTTCATCGAAAGTGAAAGTAATGCGGCTCTCGGCACCCGCAGCTTCTTTTATACTTCTGGAAACTAAAATTAATGCCGGTGAAAGAGCGAATGCAGCGGTTAAAGTAGTACAGACAAGAATCACACTCTTTGCAAAGTTAAATCTTGCTTTTTTCTGATCGAAAATATCCGCCAAATACTTTAGAAATACTACCGAGTGAGTTTAGTGTCGACTGATTAGTTAACTCGATAACATTTCTATTACAGGGAAACATACCGCGACTAATTCAAACTGAATCGACAGTGGTAACTTCCTTTAAAGTTCACTCCTGATAACTTCATGATACACTTCACTTTGTTTTTAATCAGTGCGCGATGAAACCGAAAGTAATGACGTCATTTCCGCTCCAGCTTTACAGTTTATTCACTCCACAATAAAATACAAAATTCCTTCTCATCATTTTGTATTGAGTAAGGTAAGATATTACATACATGTCTGCATTTATGGACTCTGGGGTTTTTTTTATATGATAATGATAATAACTTGGCCAATGTTTCAATTAATCAATCAGTTCAGTAACAGGTAAGAAAACCCTTCACATTTCATAGAGATTGCATCCATACATACATGCATAAAGTAACCATAACACTAACAAGGGTGAAATTAAGTTATATTAAAGGGTTTCATCATCTAATTTAATATATATTTAAAGTGATTGGTTTATTGCCAAATAGGCTAGGCTGTCCCATACAAGTGATTTCCCTTTGAGTTATGCCTAACTGTGAAAATTATATCTAAAGTAAGAGTGATAACAAGAGTATGGTAAAAAAAAAAAAAAAAAGTCATCCAATCATTAATATAAAATTAATGTTAAAATGTTAAGTGAAAACAGCTGTATATGATTTAAATGAAGAGAGTTTAATTAAACTCTAATGCAACCAATACCTTTACAAAGAGGCGTTACTTATGTTTTGTCCATTTTTCAATTACAAACATGAAGTGGGGGGAAAATATTAGAAACACATTCATTATATTGCACCCAGTACACCACTGCACATTACAACCTCAGCAATAAACATCAGATAACACCTCTCTTGCAGTATAAATGAAAAATGAATATTGTGTTAATGAAGGTGAATTTATGACTGATCTATTGTATTGTATTACATTCTACAGGTGTACCTAATAAAGTGGCCAGCAGGTATATATCACGGCATGAAAGCTTTAGTAAGCACTTCTTATGGTATTTGTTATTTAGCAGTAACTTACAACCTCGGTCCACAGATCATATTTTATTCAATATACCTGCTGTAAATTGGGTAGAATTTATCTATATCCATAGAGGAACTAACATAATTTGATTCTTACTTATAATAAGCATAATAAAAACAAACTGTAGGTCAATACCACACAACTTGCAGTAAGAAAGCCCTCCTAGATTTTAGAGCATTTTATTTTGCCAATGACTCGCTCTAAAACCTAGTTTATACACGGTGCAATAGTGCCCTCACATGGATCTTTGTAGAATTACACATTGTTGCAGAACAAAATAAGGCCAGTATTTTAAAGCCTTACTTCCTGTAAGACTGTTAAGGCAAAAAGCTAACCAGCTTAATTTCATAATCAGATTTAATGTGACCACAGTTGAGTCTCCACAGATTATAATATTACAAATGTTCCTGTCAAACATGTTTTTCCTCACAATGTCACTGTAAATTGACAGGCTTGGTGATAGTCTAGAAAGTCACCAGGAATAACTGCATGCGAGTAATCTCAGTTACAAATTCAACTAAAATGATGCATTTGTCATGTAATCAGGACAGAAAATTAAGTATCATGTTTTTATTCAAACCTTTCGAGTTTCTGGATTTTAATTAATCTTTTCTTCACCAGTTGGCCACGATCCAGAATCCTGATGATCACCACAGTCTAATGTGATAAATGTAACACCAGCTTTAGCCTGAATTTATTTCTTGTTCAATGATAATCCAGAGACACCATTACTCTTTCATCCACTGTTTTCTTTACCAACTAACAAAATATATTCTCCGACCACCAATCAAGTTACAACCACACATGCTCAGAACGATGTTTATTTCAACAGTGTTTCTCGTCAAACCCTTGCACAATATAATTTGAATGATTTTACCATCAACATAAATCTTTCTTCTCTCTTCCCTGTTACAGAAGTTTACTGCAGATGCACAAATATGATCATTGTTTCCTTCAGCAGATGGAACTAGTTCTCCAACTCTCTGGATAAACCTGCAGACAAAGAAGACATTATTATCAACTCCTTACTGTTTAAAAAAAACAAAAAAAAAAACAAAACAAAAAAGGCCAAGTAAAGGTCATCAGGGTGATTTAGGGGAAAACATCTTTACCTGCATCGAAGTCTGGTCATGTTGGTGAATTCCCTGAAGTTTGCAGCTCTAATGCAGAGTCACATCATTGATCCACATGGCCAGTAAAGCCTTGGAAAGAATAAAAGCAGCATTTCTAAGACACACTAAGACACTTTTTGCACATTTATGTTTATACAAGGACACAACACTGTCCAATAACCAACCAGGTAAGAGTACAGCAGCATTTGAGCATGTGAGATAATGACAGGAAAAAATATAAAATGTTTGAGTTCAGTTAATCCCTTATAGCTAAATTTATCTAGATCACAACTATCCAGGTCTGATCAATGTTTAGTGATGGATTGCTGGTAAAAAAAAAAAAAAAACAAAAAAAAGTAAAAAAGGTAAACATACCATTCACCTTCCTTGAAACCATGACATGTCAGACTTCTGCACTCAATGCCTCTGAACACAGTGCTTAACCTTCCACTCCTGTAAAGCAAAAAAAAAAAAAAAAAAAGATTCCAGTCGAGCTAACAGATGACACTGGAGCACAACAAGCATGTCATTGAAACCTAAACCTTTGTTTATACTCGTGACAGACACCATGACACAGGCCTCTGTAGACTGTACAAAAGCTAGCATGCAAGAGATGAAAACTCCAGGGTGTGTGCAAAAGAAATATTCTGTAGATAAGTGGGCGGGTGCTTCGTTACAAAAATTCACAGAGGTGCACAAGCAAGTGCTGTACAACTTTTAGAGTCTTCATGTTCAATGCAAAAGAGGCAATGACATTATTTTTGGCACGCAAACCTTGTGCCAGAGACACTACAGCAAGAATAAACCTAAATTCAGATGAAAATGTTGGAGGTTTACCTATAACCCTGCCATGAAGAGTCACAGCAGGGCCTCAAACAGCCTCACATCTCTATAGCAGACACTACAGGAAAGATCAGAGCCACCGCAGGCTGAGCCTCGCTGGAAAGGTCTGCACACATCCATTCTTCCAAGATAACGTAGCAGTATTGAGAAATATACAAAATGACTGAAGTTTTCAGGCCACATGTTCTTTAAAATTACAAAAACTTACTCATCAAGCTCAAAGTCATTCTTGAGGATCAGATGTCAGTCAGGAGGTCTGAGTGGTGCGGGGCCTGGCTTCATCTCTGCAGACCTGACAGAACAAAAATGGAACTTCAAGCATTCTGCAGTTTGACGAAGTTTACGTAAAGGTAACATCACACATCATGTGCCATGAAGGGATGAGAGTTCAACAGCTTGTGTAATGAAGCGAAACTGACTTCCCCTCAACAGTGGATTAATTTGCATGATAAAAGCAGATGGCTGTAAATGTCAATATCAAAAATATGTCTTCTGCACAACTGTAGTCTCTAGTGAAATCCACTGATATGACATGTCTGCATCACCTCATGGCACAAGATTTCAGGTAGAGAAAGATTGTCTGAGGTTTACCTATAACCCTGCCATGAAGAGTCACAGCAGGGCCTCAAACAGCCTCATATCTCTCTAGCAGACACAACAGGAAAGGACATAACCACTGCAGGCTGAGCCTCGCTGGAAAGGTCTGCAGAACTAACTATATAATACAGAACAGTCACTCTGAAGTCTGCTATTTAAAAGCTTTCATGTTGTTCCTGTGTGAGCAACGTGCAGAGTTCTTCACATCCCATCCAGTACATTCACATGGGCTGCCTGGGAAACATTGCTGCTGCCAACGTGATAAAAATAAGAATAAAAAGCGTCTTTACCTTGACATTTTGATGCTGGACGCTGCAGACATGCCTTCAGTCTGTGAACACAGAAAATAGATGACAGCTGTTATAAACTTAGTTAATATGTTTGTGATACAACGAGTAGAAGCAGCGGCATGTGACTGATTTTGACCGTTTCCTCAACAAAACCGCCATTTTGTCACAGCTTGATGCCTCTGGTAACATTTCACAAAGTTAAAAATTTTAAACATTTTGTAATTTAAGTCGGATGGTAGACGATTATTAAATTTACCTCAGGTCGACCACTCTGGAACCGTCTGTTCATACTGCCGGATGTGACGTAATTTAAATTAATGCACGGGGTTTCCGTCTTTCTTTTCGTTGACGATACACGGGGTCGCCCAGCAGGGGGCAATAAAGTACCAAAGATGGCGGCGGGGTGTTTTAATAGAATTTAATAGAACGTCTTCCCTTACAAAAAAGGAGATTGTTACAAGTAAAAATCCGTCTGTAACTAAAAGGCAGTAGCATCGATAAAACTGTATTTACAGTAATAAAAGGTTAATAAACACAGTACATAGCGAGTTAAAAAGAATACAGTAGTAACCATGCATCATTTATAGCACTTTTCAAATCAGAAGTTAAGCTATGATCATAAAGATGAAAGTAAAGTAAAACAAAATGTATGAACCATGAAATTTAAAGTTATAAAATGAAGTTAAAACATGAAATGAATGAATGAATGAAACTAGTACTGTACATTCATCCCAAATAAACCACAATGTATGAAATCTTTTTTAAAAGTTTTATCAAAATGCAAATAATTCCAATAAGGCTGACTCACTTCCTCTTGCTGAAATTTCCCATGCAGTGTGATTACACAGACACAAATAACTCGTTTTTCTAACCTGGGTGGGATCATGTTTGGGATATGGTGTTCACATGAGCACAGAGAGATCAGGTTATTCATATTCCCCGCATACATCCTGGTTTGTTTCAAATTACTCCAGTTAGCATATTTGGGTTTCTCATAAACCGAATATGTGTTCACATACTCAAACACAAACAGGATACTCCCAAAACCCCATGTAGACCCACTCAGTGATAACAAATGGAAAACAAATCTTCACCTTAAGCAATGAGTCCAAAATAAGACACATAATGATCACATGGTGTCAATACCACTTCCCATTTTAACCATGTGGACTGATGACAGGAGAGTTTGGCACATTATACAGCTTATTCATAAGACTTTTACTTATTTTTAAAAAAGCCTTTTTGACAAAGTTATGATAAAACCAAGAAATTAAGTGGTTAAGTGATGACTACCCTAATGTACATACAGGAATATAGGCTGTGACTTGAATGGAATTAGTCCTATAACTTTTTTTTGTATTAAACAGGGCTATAAATGGATAGGGAAATAAAATAGTACAGTAAATACATCCAAAATAAACCACAATGGTTTATTGAAATGCAAATATTTACAAATAACGCTTTCTCACTTCCTCTTGCTGGAAATTTCAGTGATGACAAAGAAAACAAATCTTCACCTTTAACAACGAGTCCCAAACAAGATACAGAATGCAAATTCATTATATATCAATCACATGGTATCAATTTCACTTCCCATTTTAACCATGTGGACTGATGACATGAAAGTTTGGCACATTATACAGCTCATTTATGAGACTTTTACTTATTTTAAAAAGAGCCTTTTTCACAAAGTTATGATAAAACCAAGAAATTAAGTGGTTTAGTGATGACTACCATACATATATAACATTTTATAGGCTGTGACTTGAATGGAATTAGACCTATAACTTTTTTGTATTAAAAAGGGCTATAAAAGGATAGAGGAATTAAATAGTACAGTAAATACATCCAAAATAAACCACAATGGGTTTTTTTTTTAAGTTTATTAAAATGCAAATATTTACAAATAAGGCGTTTGCACTTCCTCTTGCTGGAAATTTCACAGTGAGGACAAGTGGACAAATCTTCACCTTTAGCATGAAGTCACAATCAAGATACAGAATGCAAATTCCTTATATAATGATCACATGGTATCAATATCACTTCCCATTTTCCCATGTGAACTGATGACATGAAAGTTTGGCACATTACACAGCTCATTTATAAGACCTATACCTATAAAATAGTCTTTTTCTTCACAAAGTTTGTTTTTTTTAAGTATCTTTGACTGATTTATTCAGCACACTTACAGTTCATTATACAGGATTTTAGAATGAAACCAATAAAACCATAAAAAGTGATACGAAAACTGCTTTATAGCTACCGACACAGATTATCTCCATGTAGGAGGGCTTTTATAACTCAGTGGACAGACGCTGCTGGTGGGTGTTGGCAGCTCGGACGCATCCACCAGAAGGGTGCTCGTGGTCGATGACTCAGACTGCATTGCCGTACAACAATACAAACCATAGAGGAGCAGACTTCTGCTCTGGCCGTCTGTCGTGGCCTGCGCCATCAGCAGACATCCGAGATGAATTTCAGCTTTGTTTGTCTGCCGTGATGCTGACCGCTTGCCCAGCTGGCGGGGTTTGCATACTGATGAAGAAAACGTACAATCTGAATCTGTGTTTAGACACAAACATGAGCTGTTTTAGCTGCTCCTCCTGTTTCTGTGTGACTGGGAGACTCTGACGTTTGAAGAAAGTTTTTATATTTAATAAAAACAACAGTGGAGCCAAGCACAGACTTCAGCATCAAGGCTCTGATGAGGCGATAAATAAGAGCTGCATTATCTCCGAAGACTCCACCAAATGATATACTACCATAATTTGATCTCCTTGAATAATCCTATTTCCATCATGTCCTGGGATTAATCCTGACAGAGTCTGTACAATACCGCAACAACACAAACAGTACAGATCAGGCCAAGCTTGAAATAATTTACCAGACTCAAAAAATTAGATTATGACATTTCAGCCTCTGGGCAGAGTCTTAAAATAGATCAATGACCAAACATTTGTTTTACTTTCATATCAGTTGTTATTCTATATTAAAGCAGGGCTGCAGCTCCTGCTGAGGACAGTGAGGTCATGTCTGGGGGGAGAGACTTGGGGTTGGGGTCATGGGCGGATTATGAGACAGTGGGTCCCCAGGCACAGACATACAAAAGGCCCCACCACCTCTCCTACAGAGGAGCAAGACACAGACTTGCTGTTTAACCTCTTTTTGTTGTTGTTGTAGTTGTTATGCAGCTCTCTGTGGTTTTGTGTCTCTTTGTGGTCATTATGTGTCTCTTTGCACTTACATTGTGTCCCTTTGTAGTTGCTTTGTGTCTCTTTAAAACTGTCTCATAATTTTTTCTGTCTGTTTTTGTTTTGCCCCTGTGTGTAGTTTGTTGCATCTCTCTGAAGTTATGTTTTGTCTCTTTGAAGTCATTTTGTGTCTCTCTGTAGTCATTTTGTATCTCTCTGTAGTCATTTTGTGTCTCTTTGAAGTTGTTTTGTGTCTCTATGAGTCATCTTGTGTCCCTTTGAAGTTGTTTTGTGTCTCTTTGAGTCATCTTGTGTCTCGCTGCAGTCGTTGTGTGTCTGTTTGAAGTTGTTTTGTGTCTTTTTGAAGTTGTTTTGTGTTTCATTGAGTCATTTTGTGTCTCTTTGCAGTTGTTTTGTGTCTTTCTGAAGTTGTTTTTTCTCTTTGTAGTCATTTTGTGTCGCTTTGAAGCCGTTTTGTGTCTCTATGAGTCATCTTGTGTCTCTTTGAAGTTGTTTTGTGTCTCTATGAGTCATCTTGTGTCTCTTTGAAGTTGTTTTGTGTCCCTTTGAGTCATCTTGTGTCTCGTTGCAGTCGTTTTGTGTCTCTTTGAAGTTGTTTTGTGTCTTTGTAGTCGTTTTGTCTCTTTGAAATTGTTTTGTGTCTCTTTGCAGTCTTTTTGTCTTTTTGAAGTTGTTTTGTGTCTCTCTGAGTCATCTTGTGTCTCTTTGCAGTTGTTTTGTATCTCTTTGAAGTTGTTTTGTGTCTCTTTGAAGTTACTTTGTGTCTCTTTGTAGTCATTTTGTCTCTTTGCAGTCATTTTGTGTCTCTTTGTAGTCATTTTGTGTCTCTTTGTAGTCGTTTTGTGTCTCTTTGCAGTCATTTTGTCTCTTTGCAGTCATTTTGTGTCTCTTTGTAGTCATTTTGTGTCTCTTTGTAGTCGTTTTGTGTCTCTTTGCAGTCATTTTGTCTCTTTGCAGTCGTTTTGTCTCTTTGCAGTCATTTTGTCTCTTTGTAGTCGTTTTGTGTCTCTTTGCAGTCATTTTGTGTCTTTTGTGGTTGATTTAGCCTTTTTTCAAGTTTTTTAAGTTAGGTCAATTTCTATATAAACAACAACAAATGCATCCTTATTAGTATGGGACAAATTATTATTTTAAACATCTGTTATCAGCCTAGAATTTCATGGTGCAGCCCTAATTTTTACATTAATATTCTATCACATGGCTACACATAATGTGAACGTGTGTCCAATTTAGAATAAAAATCTAGTCGAGTCATTGCTTAGGTGTGACAGACAGGTTAGACTGCTGAATGAACCTTGTGTCAGACGTCAGAGGATTGGCCTGATCTCAGACACCACTGCACATCACCAAACCAGATCTGTAATCTACCTAAAGGGAGTTTAGTGAGCAGTCAGCTCAGTGCTACGCTGCTCCAAATGTCGTCACTGCTCTCTGATTTGTATCAAGGAGACGCTCTGTGGATCACCTCCAGCTGAGAGTCACACATAACAACTCCACCCTGTCAGAGCCTTTTCTCAGAATCACTATGGCGTTATGTCAGTTACTTTCATTACAGCTGCTAAATATATATCCTCCATCTGTTTAACTGCTGCAGCACAATATACATGCAGTGTGTAACAACAGGGTTGCTTTTGTTTCAAACTTAAGATTCAAGTGAGACTTATGTAAGTGGCATTAGATTACACTTGAGTCGGCATGTGAATGATGCCTTTGTGTGAGTGTGTGTTAATGTGTGTGTGTGTTGTATCAGCTGACCAACATCTCTGAGCTCCTGGAGAAGCCACCTGGTCTGAGAGATTGCTGTAGCTAACAGTTAATAAGGCTGCAAAGAGCCTCAGCTGTGAACCAGCCCACGTTCCACCAGAACCATTGTAATCAAGGATGTGTCATCAACGGAGGGTGCTGCACAACGCACAAGGACAGTTTACAGTAGAAGCAACTTTTATTTTGTTATTACAGATATTTGTTTTTACCCCTAAAACAAGCATGGACCAGTTATCAATGAGACCACTTCATGTTCTTTTTTTTTCCTGATGTCTCACTTGACTTCTCCATTTTTCCCTTAACCATCCTCTCTTTCCAATTTGTAGAGCATGACATGGCCACCACTGATGATGCCACAGTTTGCACTTAAGGTCAAGGAAAACCTGCTACTTTTTGGTTCCAGCTGAGAACCAACTTTTCAGGTTCTAAACCAAATCATTTTAGATTGAATTGCTCCGAATGGTTCAAAATTAGGTGCAGGAACCAGAGTGGAACTGGTTCTATGTTGGTGGAAGAGGGGAATAAGTAAATGTTTTAAAAACACTTGTTTTTCAGACCTATTGAGTTAGACTGAATCACTTTTTCACTTTTTTTCTTTCATTGATGCATGGTGTCTACTCAATTGTCCAGATACGCAACTCCTTCAAAATGAAATACACTGGCAAAAAAAAAAGGTCATTATTATTCAAATATTTGGATGTAAAAACAAAAAAATTTTTGGTTTAATAATTCATGCATGAAAGGGATAAATTTACTCTATATTCTTAGATCTCTCTTAGAGTGGCGGTTGTGTGGCTCAGATCCTTTATGTTTGGTGTCCTCTCAGATCCATATTCTTCATATTAAATAGCTACAAAATTTGCAATATTGGGCTAAATGAATAAAAGTGACTTGACTTGAATGTAGAAAACAAAGAAATGTAGGAAATCCTTACATCTAAGAAGCTGTAAATTACAAATGTTTGATATTTTTGCTTCATAAAAAACATACACAATAAAACAATCATGAAACATATATGAAATATGTACTTACATTTCATTGAAATCTGTATTAGTTTGGGTTTTGATCAATTCAGGAGGCAGATCAGTTCAGAATCTGGTAAGAAAAGTTGGATCGTCGTCTTAAACAATGAAAACCACACTGATTCCATGTCTGCTGATCTAATAATGTTCCAGCTCTGTCCCTGTTTTGACTTTAATATCAACTGGCAGGGCCCCTTCTGTTTAAATCTGTGTGCTGGGGCGGTCTGACGTGGACCCACAGTTCAGTCTGATCTGGATGCCACAGAAAGACAGAAAGACCAGGAGAGCTGAGGTGCAGCTGAGGCTCCAGCTGGTTCAGGAGCTCCCAGCCTCTCTTATGAAACCACGCAACAATCTGAGAGGATTTGTGAGGTTTGCAGTTTGAGGATAATTGAAGTTTGATTCAGACTTTAGGGGTTTAATGATCCGGTAATCCTTTTCACCTGATGATCGCCAAAATGAGGTGAAATACTTCATTCCCTCGTGGTTAAGAGAAAGGCGGTGTGGGGCCATGATGTCTTTGTGATCCTTGTTGATTGTGTTTAATCAACCATTGTTAGTAAATCACTGGTGGAATGTAACCAAGTGCTGTAACATGTACTGTACTTAAGGACAATTTTAAGGTACTTGTAATCTGGAAATCCATCAAAAAAAAAAAAAGTTTTTTCTTTCTTTACCTGTGGAGGCACAGCCCGGAGTTTTTCGACTAACCGAAGTGCAGGGGCCTCAGCGATCGATCACACCCTTCATTTCCGGCGGTGGCCCCAGGGAATCGCCGTGTTGTTTACAAATACTTCGGGTAGAAAACCAGCAGAGTTTAGCTATATATCACATTTTTCACGTCACTATATCACCGTGTAGACTAATCTGATGTTTGTTAAGTCTATAAACACAATGACTGAACAAACGTTACTATTTCTGTGTGCACATTTTGTAAATAACAATAATAACATCGTAGATTAGCTGGGCTAACCATTAGCTGTTAACGTTAGCCGTTAGCGGTGTCTGTAATAACCATAGACTGTATAAAAATAAGGTAATAACTCCATGAATCCATGAATAAAATATTTTTTCCACCGGATATCTTAGTTACAACATAACTGAGCTAGCAAAGCAGTTTTGTGTTGCTATGTGTGGTATTTATTCAGTTATGGGAAATCACGATGTCTAGAAAGCATCAGTGGCTGCAGCTGACAGGGAAAGTTAGCAAAGCTAACATCGGGACGTCATCTGTTAAAAGCCTCCCGTTGTTGGATACGACATGAAACTACTCCTCTTAGCTCAATCATGTTGTAACTAAGACATCCGCTGGAAAAAAAAAAAAAAAATTCACGTTGACGAGACGGTACACATTTCCTGGGGACACCTGCACGTCTCGGCCACGCCCCCTCCATTGTTATTGGCTAAAGCACAGCATCGTTCAAACTCAAAGCCCCTCCTACAGAGAGACACAAAGTGGGCACAAAACAACTTCAAAGAGACACAAAACGACTGCAACGAGACACAAGATGACTCAAAGAGACACAAAACAACTTCAAAGAGACACAAGATGATTCCTAGAGACACAAAACAACTTCAAAGAGACACAAGATTCATAGAGACACAAAACGGCTTCAAAGAGACACAAAATGACTACAAAGAGAAAAAACAACTTCAGAAAGACACAAAACAACTGCAAAGAGACACAAAATGACTCAATGAAACACAAAACAACTTCAAAAAGACACAAAACAACTTCAAACAGACACAAAACAACTGCAATGAGACACAAGATGACTCAAAGAGACACAAAACAACTTCAAAGAGACACAAGATGACTCATAGAGACACAAAACAACTTCAAAGAGACACGAAATGACTACAGAGAGATACAAAATGACTACAGAGAGACACAAAACAACTTCAAAGAGACAAAACATAACTTCAGAGAGATGCAACAAACTACAGACAGGGGCAAAACAAAAACAGACAGAAAAAATTATGAGACAAAGACCAAAACAATTTTAAAGAGACACAAAGCAACTACAAAGAGATACAAAACAACTGCAATTAGACACAAGATGACTCAAAGAGACACAAAAAAACTTCAAAAAGACAAAAAGACTGCAAAGAGACACAAAACAACTTCAAAAAGACAAAAAGACTGCAAAGAGATACAGAACAACTGCAAAGAGACACAAGATGACTCAGAGAGACACAAAACAACTTCAAAAAGACAAAAAGACTGCAAAGAGACACAAAACAACTTCAAAGAGACAAAACAACTACAAAGACACAAAACAACTTCAAAGAGTGGAGAGATGTCAGAGTGAGGGGGCTGCCCTTGGTGAGGCGCCCTGAGCGGTTGGGGGGGTTCGGTGCCTTGCTCAAGGGCACCTCGGCAGTGCCCAGGAGATGAACTGGCACCTCTCCAGCCATCAGTCCACGCTCCATATTTTGGTCCGGACGGGGACTCGAAGAGGCGACCCTCCGGTTCCCAACCCAGGTCCCTATGGACTGAGCTACTGCCGCCCCATATAGAAATATTACACTCTTTACTTCACTACATTTATTTGACACTTGTAGTTCCTAGTTTTTTTTTTTCAAACCTATATAAGGTTTCAATGAGAGGAAGCCTCTCTTTTACAGGAGCCCCCTAAACACATTCCCACAGTTACACTCCTACACACCTGAAAGCTGCCAAGTACAACCACAGTGTGATCTGCTGGCCACTAAACAGCCCTACTGGAGCAGTTAGGGTTAAAAGTCTTGCTTAAGGGCACCTCAGTGGCTGTAATGAGGGAGGGCTAAGTACCGCTTTTTCACTTTCACCACCTTATTATCCTGCCAGTTTAGGGATTGAAGCAATGACCTCCCCGTCACAAGCTCAGACTTTTTATGTTATGTGATGCAGTACTTAACTGCTAATCTACCCAGTAGTGTACAAAGTATTGAGAATAAGCTCTACATTGACAAACTGTAACATTAAAATGCTCTTCCATGTGTTTGTTAGTGATTAAAACAAAGTCATATAATATTCTGTAGTAGTATAACGCTCTGAATGGAGCCATTCTGCATAGTGCACACTTTCACTTACGACACATTAAGTACATTTTGCTGATAATACTTCTGTACTTTTACTTAAAGGTAAACTATGCAGATGTGTCCTAAATGTAAAGATTCATACAGAGGTAATCCCTCTCAATCATCATTTATGACCCACAAAGTGTACAGCAGTGTATTTGTCTGCAGAGACTTTGTCTGCCTGTATTTTCTGTAGTCGGGATATTTCTGGGTGTGTACCTTCCAGTCAATAACAGCTTGCAAGTGAGGCTGAGAACTTGTAAAAAGGTAGCAACCAGGTTTCAGACTGAAAGCAGCATTCATCCAAGAGGAAGCTATGAAAATTGCAGCCACAGTGTCGAAAACATGCATTATAATGAAATTAAACACAAGGCAGCCAAAGCTTCCAAAACAAGAGTGAATCTGAGGTTGGCTTTCACTTTTGCTCACAAGAACCAAAGCAACATTTTCTATTTGATAGGCAGGTGCTGGCAATTTTCTTAGTTAGCTTGCTAAAATATGGGTGTCTCCCACTTCAACAAATGTAACATTCCCACATTAGTACAGTAGCTTGCAGTGTATGCACAGGCATTGTAGAGAGGAGGGGCCAGGTTTAAATGTGTTTACAAACAGCAGACAATCCTTGCGCAAGTCATCCCACTGAAATGTGTTCCAGTGTGCCAGTTAGGCAACAAAAACTATTTGGATAGGCTTACAAAAAAAAATCATGTTTTGGGTTAAAATAAGTATGTGTCTTACGTCACATAGATTAGATATGAGTGATGTCAGTGCACGACCAAGTGCAAATTACCTAATGTTATGTTAAAACACTGACTTCTGTTTTCACGTGAGACACAAACTGCAGTCTCCTGGATGAAAGTCCGCTTTTGTTTGACCCATCAACCTCACCGCCCTCACACTCTATGCAGACAATCTCACTCTTAATACTTTGTCAGTTGCTCTCAGCTTCACATATTGCCATGGATAGATTTACATTTTGGTTAACTAAAGGTCTGGTGCATCACAGATACGCTAACCAGTGCCTTTGGTGTCAATATCACACACTGAGGATCATGACAAAGTGTCAGCATTTGACAACCTGGGAATGAGAACCAGCTGGCATAGAATACCATTAAGTATAATTTTGATTTCAGGATTTTTACTTTTAGACTACAGTATATCTACTTTTATTGAAGTAAAGGATCTGAGTACTTCTACAACTTGGACTGACAATCAACACAATGAAAAACAGCACATATGGACACTGGAACAGAGCGCAGCCTGTTCATGTGCGTGCACAGATGTAATTCAGGAGATGGATCATATACTAAGAAGTTTTCCAGTACATGATTTTCCCACCGTGCAGACTGAGTCAGCCTCTTAGGGCTGCGCAGCACCCGATGCAGGATGTTCTCTCTCTGTGATTCTGACTCACCCTCTCAGCTTTTCTTTGTTACTGTCTCCCACCTCTCCACCGCCACCTCCTCCTCCTCCCGTGTGCCACTATATCGGTCCTCCCATGCCCTCCTCTACCACCCTAACCAGCCTGTCATGTCTCTTTTACAATCAATGGAGGGATTTATTCCAGGTTATTTAAGGATGCCAGATCCTTCTCTAATAGCCTTATCACATGACACACTGTGCCGGCTTCATGACTCTGCAAATACTCACATCTCAGCGTCATGTCTTTGCATCAGCTCTAGGAAATCTACAGCATGAGTGCATAATGTGCAACTAGTGTCCTTTTTAGATGTCAGGATAAATAAAAAAAAACTCTTACCTCAGAGTCATCATGTCCTGAGCAGCATTACTCAGCAGGACCCCTCAGCCTCACACTGTGGTTGGATTTCACAACCAACAGTGTGCGGGAAAAAGTGCTACTCATGGGTGTTTACAGTACAAGTAGATCAAAATGTTTTTGTTCTGGAGCCAACAAAGCCAGAGTACACTGCACATAAAAAGTATTTCACAAGGTAAAGCGATGGCATTAGTGATAAGAGCATTTTTATGATCAGCAACAGAAGCCTACTCAAACATGTGTCGCAATGGTTTAACAGGTCTCTTCCTCTAAATGGGAGGTAATGATTGTTTTCACATTTTTATTTCCTGGTTTACCACATGAAATAAAAACCCATAAAAATACCAGGGAGACACAAAGTATTTACAATGAGTAGTATCACTTTTGTTTTTTTCTACTTTGAGAGCCAAACATTTCAGTCTGCGTGACAGAAAAGATTTTATGGGTTTTTGTTACATGCAGGGAACATAATGATACTGACAGAAGACTGATATGTCTGAGCATGACGAAATGTCAAAAATTGGCTGGTGGAAAAACACTCAGATACATATTGGAAGAAAGAGATTTTTCTTCACTTGTACTGGATACTTTACATTACAGAGAAACAATGCTAAATATTATAAATATTACTCTGTGATGAGAAAAGGCTCCATCTAACCTAATTCTGCATTTTCCTTTCCTGCTTAGTGGCACTTAACTTGAGTATTTCAACCCAATCACCAGAATAAATGTTAGCTTTGTCCATTTTTGCAAACCCAGATATGTTACATTTGTATGTTTCTATGTACCCAATATGTTAAAACTTTATGTTTCCTCACATTTTTATGTTATAATACCACTGTGGTTAAAGTGTGGTTAGATCTGGTTTAGGCACAAAAAAACATTTGATTAGAGTTAGGAAAACATCATGTTTTAGTTTTAGTTTTAAGTTTTTACATGACTGAAAATGTCCAGAACT